TATTTCACTACACTAACAACATTCAGAATTCCAGTACACTAACAACATTCAGAATTCCAGTACACTAACAACATTCATAATTTCAGTACACTAACAACCCTCAGTATTTCTCTGTACACCAACGACACTCGGTATTTCAATACATTAATAACATTCAGTATTTCTCTGTACACCAACGACACTCGGTATTTCAATACATTAATAACATTCAGTATTTCTCTGTACACCAACGACACTCGGTATTTCAGTACATTAATAAAATTCAGTATTTCTCTGTACACCAACGACACTCGGTATTTCAATACATTAATAACATTCAGTATTTCAGTACGCTAACAACACTCAGTATTTAAGTACACTAACAACACTCAGTATTTAAGTACACTAACAACACTCAGTATTTGTCTGTACACCAACGACACTCGGTATTTCAATACATTAATAACATTCAGTATTTCTCTGTACACCAACGACACACGGTATTTCAGTACATTAACAAGATTCAGTATTTCAGTACACGTAGAACACTCAGTATTTCAGTATACTAACAACATTCAGAATTTCGGTACACTAACAACACTCAGTATTTGTCTGTACACCAACGACACTCGGTATTTCAGTACATTAACAAGATTCAGTATTTTAGTACACTAACAACATTCATAATTTCAGTACACTAACAACGTTCAGAATTTCAGTACACTAGCAACATTCAGAATTTCAGTGCACTAACAACATTCAGTATTCCAGTACGCTAACAACAATCAGAACTTCATTACAGTACCAACATTCAGTATTTCAGTTCACTAACAACATTCAGTATTGCAGTACACTAACAACATTCAGTACTTCAGTACACTAACAACATACAGAATTTCAGTACACTAACGACATTCAGAAATTCAGTACACTAACAACATTTAGTATTTCAGTACACTAACGACATTCAGTATTTCAGTACAGTAACAACATTCAGAATTTCGGTACACTAACAACATTCAGACTTTCAGTACACTAACAACACTCCGTATTTCAGTACACTAACACCATTCAGCATTTCAGTACACTAACAACGTTCAGAATTTCAGTACACTGACAACATTCAGTATTTCAGGACACTAACAACATTCAGTATTGCAGTACACTAACAACATTCAGTATTTCAGTACACTTACAACACTCAGTATTCCAGAACACTATTAACACTCAGTATTCCAGTACAACCAAACACTCAGAATTTCAGTACACTATTAACACTCAGTATTTCAGTACACTATTAACACTCAGTATTCCAGTACAACCAAACACTCAGTATTTCAGTACACTTACAACACTCAGTATTCCAGTACAACCAAACACTCAGTATTTCAGTACACTATTAACACTCAGTATTTCAGTACACTATTAACACTCAGTATTCCAGTACAACCAAACACCAAACAGTTTTTCAGTACACTTACGAAACTATGCATTTCAGTACACTAGCTAAAAATGTACACACCGTTTTTCAGTTAGATAACAATAATCGTTATTTCATTAATTATTTGTGTTACACTAGCGACACCATCTGCTGTCGAATCTGTGATTTTATGATGTTTCAGCCGCAAGGTGTCGCCATTTTTTTCTATTTTTCATTCATGACATTTTATCGATTTAATGCAATCGCCTTGTAAAATTCATAAAATATGCGTCATGTCATCTTTTATCATAATTTTTATTCATGATCTTTTTGATTTTCCAGACATTTCCAATATTTCTATCAACTTCTGTTCTGACGCATTAGATACTTAGGAGTACATTTTTAATTGTATATAAATGTTAGCAGTTTCAAGCTTTGTTCGCTAATTTATGTCCACCGCTTAAATTAGACCATAAAGTTCATGCTAGTCATTCCAAAAAACGCAAGATTTCACAGAACAGTTAATGACAACTCACTCGCATACATATATGTAAAATAAAAAACCACGTAATTCCTGACTTGTCGATGTTATAGGTTTTGTTCCCATATACCCGCTGTACATCAAGTGTATAAATGTCATAGCCTATTTCAGAAAATGAATTTGCCCTCATAAATGGATATAAGTACTGTAATGCTGCTATTTAAGGTAATAGGATTGTGTCGCCATTTCTCAGTAGAATTTCTTCAAATTTTGTAGCTATATTGCTTTGAAGTAGAGAAAAGTTTCTGCCACCAAAAATATAGGTTGTCAGAATTTTTTAAAGATTTCAAATGGAAATTTATGTAAAAATTAGTGAATTTTGAAAAAAAAATGAAACACACATTTCTTTGCAAAATAATGTCAATAAAAATGATATTGACATACATTAGTATTGCATTTATGTATATCAATTTCATAAATGCTGAAATTGTGTAAAATTAATTATCTATAAACAATTAAAAATTGACATTTTATAATAAAACCATATACACATAGTAATTGCATGTAAGAGTTATCGTTCTTGAAATAGGTAGCCGGTTTCCTGAAGTACAGAAAAATGGACACATGTGACTTATTGATTAAAAAAACAACTGAATTAATGCCTGGATTGCTTTAAAATACTTTAATATTGAAAGAACACACTGTTCTGTCAATAAACAACATACAATATTCATCAGTTTAATATTAAACATTAGAATATGCGGAAATTGTGATACTGTCTCCCTACATTGGGTTTTCAACTAGGGATGTACTTCCTATTTCCGCTTAGCAATACACTCCTATGACCTTAAGAACACATAGACCTGAAGATTTGTAACAGCTGTATTTGGACCTAAACTAAGGTGTTTGGAGTAATTTTACATTTTTAACCCCAGTCACATTTAGGCTGATTTCCGAAAAGGCGGCCGGGCGATAGGTTTTTTGGCCAAAATCGGCCGGCAAGCCGGAAAACCGTTAGGACGCCGGGAGATTATCGTCCACTATCGATTTTTAAACACCGCACGGGTCGCCGGGAGCTTTTAGCGTGGAGATAAAAGTTGCCGGTGTCCGCCTGATTTGTTACCCAATCTCATCGGAACATACCCGGCAGTCTCGGACCGTAAGTGTCTCGCAAGGATTTCGTAAGATTATCTTATGGTTCCCTGTGACATCGTACGGTCATCTTGGGATTTTGTACAATTTTACATGCTCCCAGGTGTCGTGTAGACCAACCGGTTTCCGGACGGGTGCCGTAGGGCAATCGTTAGGTACAGTATACGTAGCCGCCCCATGTCCGCAAACTGTGCAGTGACCGTGGGATATTTGGCCGACGCCCGCCCGATATCCGGACGGGCATCGGCCGATACTTCCGGCGCCCGGACGGCACACATACGAGTATCTGCAGGCGCCATTTTCTCATGAACGAGCTAGGTGTTAATTTGTGTGCTTCCCTATATATACACGCCATGTGAAATTCGAAATATCGTAAGGGCTATTAATGATGTTGACGTCAGTCACGTGCCGAGACCTGTGGTGATTGGCTGTTAACACAGCCACGTTTTTGCTAAACCAACCAACACTGCATGTTTCGGCACGAAACTAACATCAACCTCATTTATATACAAAAAGTGGCACGATGACTGCAAAAACTTTGAAACTCTGAAATAGCGTGTGTTTTTGGAGGAAACGGAGATCATGTCCGTGGAAGGAGAATTCATTTTACGTGCATATAGAAAAAAAAGGAAAATTATCCATCTTTCCAACGGCACTTTTCCGTAGATCAACTAGACATATTGTTTTTGATGCAAGAAAGTTAGGTGGGATCGACTTTTTGACATCGAGCGCTTTCCACCCTTCTCGTATATAATCATTGGGGTGTCATTTTTCACCGAAGGTCGATCTAAACCCCTGAAATATGTAAAATTACTCTGAACACCTTAGTTTAGTTCCAAATACAGCTGTAACAAATTCTCAGGTCCCTGTGTTTTCGTGTTTTACAGTACACTTATAACTTCTACTGCCCTTTTCCGCTAAGATTTGAGTGCGCTAATTTAGGTACGTTTACAGTACATTTGACCATAATTGAATAGGAATTCCGGAACTCTGTCAAAGTTTTTGTATATGTTTTATTTAACAGGGTTATCTTTTGAATGAGTAATTATTAATGAAATATGAAAATGAAAGGAGATTATTACTTTTTCTTGATTTGTAGATTGTAGTGACTTTGGTAGGAAACCCTGTCTAAGAAGTTTATTGGCCAGCAAAACAATTTTGCTCAAAACATTGCGATGTCTAATATACTCTATGGAGAAGTGAATCAACTTTGAAAAGATAGTATTTCATTCATTTATTTGGTTCTGTTTCATATATGTAATTCTTGAAGATAAACGCGAAATTTGAAATTCTGTTCATCGAGGTCAATTTTTTTATCAATTTTTCTGAATGTTGAATGATCCGATAATTATCTTATCTGTTTCCCAAAGTTGTCAAGGGAAAATGGCGGCTCACAATAATACATAAAAGATCTTGGCTAGGAATAATAAACAGCCATCACCCACTTAATTCTATTGCAATATTTTTTTTCAACCAGAAACGTCAGAAACAAATTGTCTCATAAAGCATTATTCGTAGAAACCGGAAACCGTCTTCTATTTTAGAAAATTCCTAAGCTTCCCCCTGTTTGAAAACTGTATTTGATACATGCAATGATACCGTGCCAGTTGATGACGACGTCTGGTTTACATGTTCAATGTATACTTAGTCTTATAGATTAACAAGAAACACATTACGTAGCAATCAACAGAAGGCACATTTTTACTCGCTTAGATATTCCAATCAGGTGTATCATGCTTGATGATCAATCATTTCATTAAACATGTGTTACCGAAATAGTGTTCATTTTGAAACATAAACATTTTCTCTTATAAAACGATTGGAAAAGAAGGGAGTTTTACAAATAACATATGACCTGGCTTTTAATCTTTCCTGTACCTGACCGTACTACCGGAACGTAGATGACATTTCATAATGTAACCGGTATATTTTAAACATGCGCATTTGAAATTGAATGTTTACACTCAACTCGTATTAGTTCACAGGGTCGTGGGATGAGTTAATAGGCTCTAAACACACCCTTGTATAAAACGATCGGGTCTGTTTGCTGCGAGAGTTGCGTCGGTAAGGTAAGTGAACAGTTAGCTGCTTTTCGTTATGGCTCACATTAAGCTGGCCATATTTAGGGTATGTAGAAACGTAAATGCACTTTTCTTTGTAAGATGATGGTTCATATTTAATGCTTTTTACCTTAAAATCCGAATGAAGAATATGACTTCTTCAAGTAATATAACCTTGTAGTTTATTTAGCATGCTTGTGTATAACAGATGAAACAATAGTGTTTTCAGCAATTATTGCTGTTGTTAATTAATGACAAGTTCCTTTGCAGCCAGATACATGAATTCCGTTCATTCCGTTCATTCCGTTGCAGCCATATACAATATTTCATTTTTCTGGTTGATTTCAATATGTTTTTATTTTTGTTTATGTTCCCTTGTACCGTATATTTCTCTTTCTTTCTTTTTTTAATCCACTTTTCTTTCTTGCATGTGATATATTCATAGTTGCGCTCTGTTTGTAACCTCTGATGCTCTGTTATCGAATTGCTAAACAGATGAAAATGTAATAAATATATGTACTATTCTTTATGTATGTCCGATTTTAAATTCGAGAGAAAAATGAAACTGAAACAACAAATTTTGCTCGTTCATGGTATTTTCTTAGATGTTGAACAAATCGTGCATATTGCATCTGAAAAACGAACATTATTTTAAGCGCTTATGCTTATCGACATTTCAAAACGACATAAGCTGGATAACTGGAGTCACAGCATCAGCATTTATAGTATCAATTAGATATAAATTGACCAGGGGTAATATTCCATTTTTTAATGTACTGTTTAAATGATGTATAGGTATTAAGTACATAAAAAGTGTATTTCTTATTATTATAACATTCGACATATAAGAACTTTGTCAAAATACATGAATAGCGCAATCTTACTAACTGTTACTAACTGGTAGAAGTATTTAGTTCAAGCATTCATTCTCACAACTCCGTGTCAGTTTGGCCTGGATACAATTAATAACAACTGCTTCAAAGCGTTAATTACATATCTCAATAAACAATTAATATTTTAATTATAACGATAACAAGATCTGCGTTTGAAAGTAATTATCTGCTTTAAAACATATAAATTACCTTGTTGTGGTACTTGCAACATGATAGGCTATATATATAGAATAATACATGCCTTTTTCCATATCACACCCAGTATCAACCCGAGACTGCAATATCAGCCCAAGGGCCGAAGGCCCGAGGGCTGATATTGGTCGAGGGTTGATACTGGGTGTTATATGGAAAAAGGCGTGTTTTATTCTGTTTATTACATACTTACTAATAAAAACTACTATCTTATGATTTATTTTTATTTTTGAAATATTGAAAAACGATTTTTTTTCCAAAAGAGGTGTGATATGGGTTTTGCGGGCTGATACGGGTTTTGGGGTGTGATACGGCGGGGGCTGATACGGGTTTTGGGGTGTGATACGGCGTGGGCTGATATGGGTTAGAGCAATTGTGTCGTATCGCATATACAAAAAACCCGTATTTATTAGTAAGTATGTAATAAAATGATGTAAATTACCACATATTTTCAATGTAAGTTAACGTTCATTGTACATGAAAAAAATATTAAATGTCTATATTTTTTAATATTTTTATTAACATTTCTCGTTCAATGTTTTATATTTGTATATTCAATAAAGATAAAATCCAACATTAAGAGCGATCACAGTGATGCCAAATGACAGATATCTTTCTTCTTCATCAAAATTTCATATATGTATATAAGTAATATTTATGTTGTAAATAATTTTGTGCTTATTTTTCATTATAAACACTTGTACAAGTTGTACAAATATAACTGAATGAAACTCTACCATTTTTGTAAAATTATTAAGATATTCATATTAAATGTTTTTCTTAGAAAGATATGTTAAATCACTATCATTTTGCAGATGGACAATGTCAAACCGTTGAGATGGTTGACGTTCAACCTTCTGATATGGCATGTTGCATCTAGTATTGATAACATAGACATACCACTTCGACTGATAGAATGTTTCTCGGAATGGGCAAAAAGGGAGAACCTCACTAACATAGCTGGCCAGTCTGTGCTACACACATGTATGTCAGGTTATCTGTGGGAGACGGGAATGGAGAGATGGAGCCCAGATATTGACCCAGACATTTCGAAGTACATCTCGGAAGACGTGGCGGAGAGGATCAATCGATTACGTGAAACAAGAAGCACGGACGCCACGACCGCTTCGCCATACAGAAACCTCCGCGTCCGCAAAGAGTACCGCATGTTAACTGACAAGGAAAGACGGAAATATCACAGGGCGGTGAAAGCTCTTAAACAAGATAAGGTACGTTTTTTATTCTTCCAAGAGAACAATACATAAGTGGTATGTAAGTTAATGGAATTACATCGCCTATGCTTGTATTATATACCTGCTCAAATATGTTCCAACCCAAATTTTGCACAATATGGCTAGAATCCTACTGTTGAAATCCGTTGTTCATATGAATGAAGGAGAGTATTGGCATCTGGACAAATGGTTAAAGGGTGGAACCGTTCAAACAGAAGGTAAAAGGAGTTCAAAGATGGAAAATATAAGATAACGACAATAAACGGATGAGCAATTTTGGTATATTGGTTAGAAATAGAAATATTTCTCATAGTTTAGATATAAGTTCATGTTGCAGAATGCAGTCGTGTTTGCTGGGACCGTACGGGAATTTGCAGACAACTGCACTCACCCAAATTTTATCGAAGATAGTTTGGTCCACCAAAAATTCACCCCACAAAAGGCGTAAACGAAGTTATGAAATGTTAAATACTGAAAAAGCCATAAAGTCCTTTATCCGCAATGCCACTTTTACTTCTTTGCTCAAATACCTTACACTAATACACGAATTTGTAGATGTACATTATTATGTATATTTCCAAGTACTGTAAACATACACATTTTAGCGGTTGTCTCATTTTAGCACTTTCCGCGTTCTAAGTATTATTCTCAATTATGATTGTGTGAATAGAAGCTCCTGTATATTGTTTACGTATTTTGATGGTACGCCAATTCATCAATGTTCTAATCTGTTGATTTGAGTGCGCTAAAATGTGTATGCTTACAATATGTCGTACAGCTAGAGTATAGTATCATACACGGTAAGAAAGATTCTTTAATGCAACGTTTTTCTTTTCTATCCAGAGACTGAAACCGAACACATTCGATGCTATTGCTAATTACCACAACGCGAAAGTACAGAATTCTGCGCACGGAGGACCTAATTTCCTAGGATGGCATCGAATTTATCTCATGATGTAAGTTTTTTCATATCTCGCTTCTGGGAACATGTTTTTACTTATAAATGTGTTCCAAATTGAACAAAAAAAGCACCAATTGAGAGTTGTGTGTGCAAAGTTAAGCGCAATTTCAATAAGAGTTAAAAATTTGGTAAAGATACAAAAAGTCAAAAATTACACCGCATCATACAACTGTTTCGTCTATCTAGGTCTCGTTGGTTATGCTAGGGGGCAAACAGTTGGAAATCCAAATTGTTTAAACCACTTTTTTTAATAGAGGGGAAGATGTTTAAAACCCTGACTTATAAATTTAAACTTTTTTTGTTTTTGTTTTTCTCTGCGTCGACAAAAAAGTGAGCAACAATAAAAAATCGATTCCAATTCCATTATTAATATTTGTTTAGGTATGAAGACGCACTTAGAAGAATGGACCCTGACGTGACAATTCCGTACTGGGATTGCAGGTTGGATGAAGCAATGAACAATCCAGCAAAGTCCACGCTGTTTTCAGCTCGTTTTGCAGGAACTGGTGTAGGCGAGGTCGATAAAGGTCCATTTAAAGACTGGAACCATGCTTCATTTGGTAAACTAAAGCGAGACACTAATAATGGTGGGGAGCTCATGAGTTACGATGACGTGGAAAATATCCTTTCGAGAAATTATACTTCCGAGATAACCATCCCAACAGCGGAACTTAAGTACAACCTGGAGGTACTTCATGGAAACATACACAGTTTTGTTAGCGGACATTTGGGAGAACTCACCTCCGCAGCACATGATCCTTTATTCTACATGCTTCATGCTTTTATTGATTACATCTGGTGGATGTTCAGGAAAAAGCAAGAGGCCAATGGGATCGATCCCTCCGAAGACTATCCAGAAACAACAATTAAGAAACATCATCCAGATCAGACAATGAATGGGTTTAGTATGTACAAAAATATCGATGGGTATTCTAGCAACTGGACAAGGGACATTTACACCTATGATATGAGCCCTACATGTTCCAAAAACAAATCTTCACATTGCAATTCAAAATGGCTGATATGTGACCATGATACAGGCAGATGTGTATCAAAAGCACGTAGAAGAAACTACCGATCACTAGCGCAGAGGTTTGGTGCATTTATGTCATCCACGCCGGAAACGTGTCAGACGGAGGACACTGTTGAAGATGGCTGCTTTAAGCTTGATACAACTATTCAAAACACATTTGTCGTTGACGGCTCCGCTGATTCCAGCAAATGGGTTTATCTTCCAATTAAAATTATCAATGAAAGGAAAATGGCAGAAATATTCAGGTCGTTCGGAGTTGAAAACGGTGAAGCCAATGAGACTTTGGACATTTATGATTCGAAACAGTATGATGAACTGAAACGAAATGAAGATGATGGTAAGATGGGTACCTATCGGAAGTGCCAGCTCTCTGGCTCTGGCGCCACCAAAATATTCGTAAATGTTTACGGGTTGAATTACTATGGCTTTTCCACGGAATACACTATAGTGGATGAAAGAATTGCATTGTCGGCAGGGTACACTTACGTCCCCGTTAGGAAACCCACGGATAAACCTTCAGAAGCGTTCATCTCGGCGTACGACTCCTGTGGAAGACTCTGCAAGCCTTACTGTAGAGAGGATGGGATGTACAAACCATGTACTGCCGCGATTCGTATGGGTAACTATTCCAATGGACAGTACGGGAATACGTTTGCAGATGCCCTCCTGAATACATGGAGCTTTGATGGCGATGGAGTCCCAGAGGTGAACGCTGCCAACGTGTACTTGGCGTTCTACTGTAACCGTAAGGAAACTTGGCCATGGCAACAATACAATAAATAAACACAAAACTTTCACACCAAAGAGTATATAATAGTTAGGTGGTCTACCTGCTTTTTAGCGAAAAATGTTTTTTTTTTCTTCTATTTGTTGACAGCGAACTTTCCTGGAGGTCTGTCTCAATTCGTATATAAATGACAGACACGTCTGTCGCTTTATGCAAAACTACTTATGCTATAGATGCACATATTCAGAGCCAAAAGCTTTTTATTTCGCATCAGAAGTGTGAAAACCGTACTTTTTCTTCATAATGTGAAAAGGATTTTAGAATGTGTAGTCTATAAACCATCACTATGATATAATTATGTAACATGATAAATGGTAAAAGCCAGTATTAGGTGATGACGACCAGGGCCCAGTTGTTCAAAAGGTGATTAGCTTAATCAGTGATTAGCGCAAATTTTAATCTTTATGTAACTTCAAAACAAAACTACTGAATTAGGTACAACTTTCCAGATATCAAATGTGCGATGTGTTTAATGATGGTTAAAGTCTGATGTGAACACGTCCCTTTAAAGTGCACCATTTGGGTGCTGAAAACAGATTCAATAAATATATCCATACACTACCAAATATAACAGTATGCACACGAGCAGTTTACGTCAAAGTGTTTTGTCAATAGTGTTCAAACGGGGCACATTCAGATTAACATAAAACTAAAATCTACATATGTCCGTTAAAACGTTTTACATGTTTGACATTCGATGTCAATTCGAACAAATAGAAAGATAAATTGCATATCTGGGTGATCATTGTGAAATGCAGTTTCTGTTGAATAATAAACAAATCAACGGGTCTGTATGGGGATCTAAATGTAAATTATCTTGCATCAGATGTTAACCGGAGCTATTAAGAAAAGTTAAGTTACAAAGAAAACCTTACAGACCGATCTAGCACATTTCAAAACTGTTGTCATCACCATCATTTGAAACATTAAATTTAAAAATCGTCCAACTTGCCTTGGAACCAATCGTATTTAAATACATTATTAACACATATATTACTTTGTACTTAAATGATTAAAACAAAATAAGAGACCGAATTTGTTTACTTGTAACTAAAGGTATCAACATCGCGCGGCGAGATATCAGCGATGAGAGCTACGTCAAAAAAGTTAGGATTCCAAAAGCCAAATCTACCAAAGGCAATATTATATATAGAATGTTTGGTAACCAAACTGATAAGGTTGTAATTTTGAAAGGAATAAGTTATTGAGTACATGTAACATAATGCTTTAAATTTATGGGAATATCACTCTGTTTCTCTGAAAAATATTGACACATGAATGCTTTTTCTCTTTCTAGCTGTTATATGTTCTTTTTAAACACGTGTGTTTTCTGTGTATGTAGTTGCCTTTCATCTTCATGAAGATGGTTAGTATACAACTCCTTTGTTTTCTGATTGAGTAGTAGCCCCGTGCTCGTCCTCTCATTGGATTTTATTTATTGTTTGATTATGTTTTTATTTGTTAGGATTTATGACATTTTAGTTGTTGTGTTGTTTATTAGTTTATAATTCATGTAAGGTTTAAAACTAGCTGGATGAGTCTTCCTTCTGATGCTTGTAGAAATAAAGTTTATTTAAAACAATACCTTGATGTTTTCATTTTTAATGTTAAGACATAACAATAAAACACATCTTTTTGACAATTTTCAATGTATTTTTACAACATTGTACAAATGTTCATCTGCACGTAGTATGTTGGAGCTTTCATTAATGATGACCGTACCTTCATGCCTATGCATATTGCTTGTACAAGCATTCACTTAATATGATAATAAATTCATTCATAAATTAAATAAACACAGAAGTTAATACACTTGTAGTGAAGGTTTAAGTATTCTTTATTTCAAGTCACATAGATAACATGATCGCACATATTGTACAAGGAAATTAAAGGTGGTAGCCGACCCTACGTTGTGTTAGATGTATGTCCTATTGTAGGAAAGAAAATGACATTTGTCTCGTCAATAACCTTAGCATTTATGTTTTATCAGGTTTACAATAAATTTCAGTTTTCTATTATATAAAACATACTGAAAACAGCCGAACTCCTGATGTAGTCACTATATGGAGCTCTCTGGGCGCTTTGTCAGGTACAGCTTCATGTTCTCGTTCTCCTCAACTTGTTGGCGGTTTGCCGCCAGTTTTGGAAAGTCTTTCAAAGCATCCGAATTTAAATGAATAAGGGTTGTAAAAATATCGTGGCATGCCAGATCAGCTAACGTCAGCTAGAAAGGGGAATAAAGTGAAAAACATGAGCTACTATATATTCTGTGGATGTATTTACCTCGAATTAATTTACATATGAATCGTGATGAAATATGTCTAGCAGGTGTTTAACCTTTATCTTAGTGTGTTTGCGAGAGTGCGTGCATGTGTGGGTGCGTCCAAAGCGTGGTACACAAAGTGAGGTATGGAAAATAATACCTCGATTCTCTCTAATAACGCTTTCAAAATTAAGTTATTTACAAAACAAAATGAATAGTTATAAAGCAAATTACACTCATTCATACAGCTTCGTGCGTAGGTGAAGTGATGTGGGTTGTATGCCGTGTAAATTTTCATTTATTCACTCAGTCTAGAGAAGAAATACAACCATCCATTTACAAATTATCCTACCATGAGACAGTGTCAGATTCCTTGGTATTGGCGTCGAGATATTACGATCTTTCGAGGAAACACTAAAACAGCTATCATACTTTTTTGTCAATTACTACAGCAAAACAGCGAAGGTATTCTTTCGTTGCTTGTTGGACGTAAACTAGAATATGTATTACCTCTTCACAAAAATAATCGACAAAGTAATAAAAAGGTTGAAAAATACAATAACGTTTTCGAAGAATACACGATGAATAATATTGTGTAAGTAAATAATCGATCAGGTCTTTTTTGTGTTAATTGACTTACTTTAGATCCAACAAAGTACCCATTTTTGCCTCCACTGTTTTCCATAAAAGTTGTGAAGATTCTGGCAAACTTTGGAATACTTTCCGTTACAAATTTCTTTTTGAGATCCTCCTGGCAAATATAATATAAAAGACGTATAAAGTAATTCAGACCAGTCTACCGAAAGTAAAAATACAAAAGCGCTTGTGAAAACAGTAGAATGATAATGCACACGGGTTAGAGGGTTAGGATGACTTGTCGAAGCGTCACCAAAACATGTAAACGAAGTGGTGCATATGGTAACTTTGTTTATGTAAATCAGCCTTTTCTCACTGTTATCATTCTAATAGAAAAACGCCCAGAAGAATAAACCCTAATATAAAGATAAAACACATCTGATCGACAGTGGAAGTATACCTTTTTGTCCTTGTCCGTCTCTTGATCGTGTATCTTGTAATATTCATAGAATTGCGTAAATGTATCCGCGGCAGTGTCAACCACCTGGTCTACTAGGCACTGCTCCAGGTTTCCCTGACCTGACAGATCTGAAAAGCAACGTGGACAGTATCTAAATAGTTTTATACTTAAGTCTACAGCAGGTATTTCTGCTCGAATGACAAGAAAACTGAAAGAGAACAACAAATTTATATCATTATATCCTGCCGCCATTTTTACTCTATATATCACGGATGGTGCATCTGAAAACATCATGCACGTATATAGATAAGTAATGTATGATAGCCGATCGTCTGAAATATGCATTGTTCATACATTATGTAATACCTACTAATTTTAAATGATTAAATCAAAGGAAAGTGTTGATTGCTAATGGCAAAACAAAAAAACAAAAAACAAAAAATCATGTTCACGAACATTTCTCAACTATTCCTTAAATTCAATTTTGAAAAAATCATGACTAAAATAAAAGGAAATTTTCTTAACTTTCAATTTGACCGTAGTTCTGGACACAGTTTTCCAATTGAAATAATAAAGTTATGTATTTGTTACTTCAGATAGAGAACATGTGAGAAACTGGAAGGTTAATGTAAAAGGGAGACTGGCGATATGTATTTATATTCGGTGAAAGTGAGGTGGACTTTTTACACTAAGTTCCCCCCTTATAAGATTGAAGTGTGGTAACTTATTTTAAAACTCAAACCATAATTCTCAAGCAATAGCAGTTATCGGGTGACAAAAAAAAAAATGGCGTCGAAGTTGCAAATAACACACATATATATATATGGCGTCAATATAGTGCGTATTTTAAAGAGAAGGTTTTAAAAGAAACGATTTAGTCACGATTATAAAAGAAATCAAAAAAGTGTTGAATACTATATCAAAATCAGTTATTAGGTAGAAAATCTAAGGTTTTGAAGTCCAACGAATCACAGACTACAGAACATTTTAGGAAACGTGTGGTTTTCTTTAAGTCGAGTTTTAAGCACTACAGAAAAAATGACTTATTCGTATCACATTTGTGCGATGCAATAACGGTATTTCTGTGTGAAGTTTACGCAAAGTAGATATCTGAAACTTCCCGATTTGTTCTCGTGAATCTCAAAACGGGCAGTAAAACTTGATCTGTTTTGGGTTTGTCGCGTCAGTTACCACATACAGCACAGTTACTGCAAAATATAAACTTGGTTTTAAGTAGTGTAAATACGCAATAGACAAGGAAAGTCGGTACGTACATCTCCAAATGGTGAGGAACAACATGCTTCCTATGTTCACGACCTCTGTAATACCTCAAAACACAATCTCCCGATATTTTAGTTATAAATGTCTAATCAGGATTATATGATCTCTCTTTGCATCAAGAATAACAACAATGTCACATATCTTTTAAACATATTATAATACTGGACGCAGGCAAAAGCCTATATATCCAGATCATATGATTGTATGGTCAACCTCTATGCTAACGCCCTGACAGTGAATACGTGCATAATTGTCAAATTCATGATTATACAAATATTCTGGTTGTCCCCAGTGCTTATATAGCCGGGCTTCAAACCATATGAACTTACACCTTTTTGCGATATTTCAATATGACACTATTTGATTTGATGACTACACTTACGAGTTACCTCGCTGTTAATACTACACTTACGAGTTATCTCGCTGTTAATACTACACTTACGAGTTACCTCGCTGTTAATACTACACTTACGAGTTACCTCGCTGTTAATACTACACTTACGAGTTATCTCGCTGTTAATACTACAGTACACTTACGAGTTACCTTGCTGTTAATACTACACTTACGAGTTACCTCGCTGTTAATACTACACTTTGTGTTATATGCTTATTTTCTTTGCAATTCTTATTTTTTTCAACGTCTCTCTGTAAGTTCTTATGTATTAAGCAATGCTATAAGGTATACAATGTATGTGGCTGCATTTTAATGTGGCAATACAATCTAACGGAGGACACCCTGGCTCTTAGCCGTATTAGTTTTTCACTTCTGCACCTGTTTCAACCATTTGTGAGACGGATAATTTTCAACTGATGAATTTCAGACAGATAATACCCTACTGTTTCACAATGTATCGAATGTAGTTATTCATATTCAACGAAAATGCAAATATTGTTGTTTTTATCTGTATAGTATATTATCGCCACCTCGTGGCATACGTAGCAGTACGTATTGTTCTCGCTGAGAGCACAGCTGTTTTTATTCATTGTAGATACTAGTGTTGTTTACTTTTTGACTCGTTTCGAACTTGTCTTTCAAATGACTTTCTTTTGATGGGATATTCTTAAAGGAACATGTTTCAATAGGTCAATAAAATAAAATAAAACAATAATATCGACAAATTTATGATTTCGATATCTCCCTTTTGAAATTCTCTTGACGCATATGGAGACGTTAAGTGACGTTAATGAATATGATCGTGTATGCCAATGATACTACATCACAGTTTTATATAGGCTTGTCTTACCCCCGGTGATTGCATGTCACAGCTGATTCGGTATTCAAGAGATTGCTCCCAATACCATGACTTCCGTGATAGATGTGCTGACTGATAAACTTACAACACGGGTTTCAAAAGATGCAGGTTGATAAAGACGATGGACAATTTTTATGGTCGAAATCAAGATCGCATAGGAAAATATACTATTTCTTTGTGTTATATGAAGGTCGATTTTTTTTATTATACTCATTGGTGAGAATTGTGGTTAGCTGAGATCCCGATTCGAGCACGTGACTTTTATTGGATTTGACCTAAATTTATCCGGAGGGTGTCGTCAATTAATCAGGGGACACTTACTCTTCCGGAACACTTAGTCTTATAATCTTTGTAATTTTTTAAGGGTCTCTATCTCCAAGTAAATATTTTTTTTGTTCACATTTTGCGCAAGGTTTATCAATTTTGAATTCGAATTTGTCACTTATTCTCTTGTTTTTATTACACATAAAAGCTTACCAAACTCCCTTGCTAGGTACCGGGCTATGGCCAAACTCTGAGATAACTGCTTTCCGTCCACCTCCAGGACTGGTATTTGTCCCGTGGGCACCTCTGTTTGGTAACAAGACAACACATGTTACAAATGCGCACATTTTAATTGGGATGATGTTACGTGCGTATAATTATACTCACGACTTGTCACAGATAATTAAGTCTAGATTTCTGCGGTTGATTTTGTCTAAAATGGCATGCTTTTCAACCAGTGGTTTAAACTGTACACAATAATAAACACACATATATTATTAGCTTAAAGACTTTCCAGATTTGACAGAAGAAATCAAGAAAAAGTTCACATAACGTAGTAAAAACTGCACTGGAACGACTTCTTGTTTTGTCTGCTTACTGACCTAAGGTAGGTTTCTTCGTCAGCTTTAACTAAAACGTGTATTGGTCATCTTCCTTAAGTATTTTACGCATCGCTCTCATGGTCATGTAAAATGTATTGTGTAAACTATGAAAACAGCTACATGTATACTGAGCAAAAAATATGTACTGTAACCTGATGATTCTATGTCGATTTATTACATACTTGGTTTCAGGGAAGGCCAGTCTTCCATCGAGACAAGTTCATCTTCGAATGTTTGTCCAGCAGCCGCGAAGGCAAGACGAATAATTTCACCTCTCCCCCGGACGGGGAAGTACATTAGTTTGTATGTAGGCATCTCTGTGGTGGCTGGCGATCGACTGGTGGCCGAGGCCTTGTGATAAAGGTATATGTATGTGACCTTCCGATAACGACGTTAGATAAGTATGCAAATACATGCACTTAAAGTGTGTATCAGGAATACTAACACATAAATGTTAACTATCAGCAAAATGTGATATTAGGGCAAAGATGCTTTTATTATTAGGTTAACATGATAACAAACTATTTCTTAGAGGCTTCAATTGTCTCATGGCTGTCATGATATGATTACTTAATATGGGGACGCGAATAAAATTTGCTAACTGTGTCTTAGTTCATTGATCACCTACATGCTTATTTGATTTGACTGATGCCGATGTTAATGGCTGTGGTGCCCCAGTTCATGTCGGTGGTACCATTCGGTGGTGCCATTCTAAAACACTTGTTTATGTGAGCGGTGTGTGTGTGTGTGTGTGTGTGTTTGGGGGGGGGGGGGGTTATGCTGTTTGCGCAGGGTTCATGGGGAGGGGTCGCCGTTGTTTGTACACCTGGGTTTTTTCTGTACTATTTATGAAGGTGGTGCCTTCTTGTACATCTGCTGTTTGTTAAGTGTTCATAAAGATTGTTTGATTGCCAGAACGCCTGTTGTTTTTTTGTGGGAATCACATAGATGGTGGTACTATTCTTTGTGCAAATGTTGTTTGTGTAAGGTTCATGAAGGTGTTTCCATTGTTTGTAAACTTGTTGTTTGTATGGGTTTCATAAGATTTACGGTACCATTTTTTGCACAAATGTTGTGTTTGTTGGGATAATTACAGCAGTGTCGTAATTTGTACACATGCTGTTAGTGTAGGGTCCATGACTTTGATGCCAATGTTGACACCTGTTGTTTGTGCAGGATTCATGATGATAGTTACAGGACTCGTGATGCTTGACACCTGTTTTTATTTTCATGACGGTGGTTCCATCTTTACACACCTGCTGTGTATGTGTGTTGAGTGAATGTTGATGATGCCGATGTTTGTACACCAGTTGTTTGTGTAAGGTTCATGAAGATAGTTCCGTTTTTTGTATACCTTTTCTTTGTGCAGGATTCATGACGGTGGTTTCGCTGTTTGTACAACTGTTGTTTATGCAGGATTCATGAAGATGGTTCCGTTGTTTGTCCACCTGATGTGTGTATTGAATGAAAGACTTGGACGCCGTTGTTTGTACACCGGTTGTTTGCGTAAGGTTCATGAAGTTAGTGCCATTCTTTGAACTACTGTTGTTTGTGTTGGGCTAATGAATGTGATACAGTTGGTTGTACGATTTGAGTTACGATATGCTTTTATGTTGGAACTGGTTTTTTTTCTTCTTTTCCTTTAAAAATATAAAATTCTCCAATGAATATGCTCTTATCATTATTTATTCATGTTTTCAATAACACTTAGAAGTTACCAACAAGAAATCGACTCATGAACTCTAGATGATGCTCTCTGGGCGGTTTGCTAGGTACTGCTTCAGGTTTTTGTTCTCCTCAACATTTTTCCAGTTTTCAGCCAATCTTGGAAAATCTTTCAACGCCTCTGGGTTAAGAGAAAATGTGTGAATATTTCGTGACATGCAAGGTCTGCTAACGTCAGCTAGAATACGTAAAAAATATAACTCAATAATTCTACTAAAGCCTTTCCTTAATAGTGACACTATTTATAGGCGCATTTTCTGAACATTTTACACATATCTATAACATGTTTATAGATAAGGTTTTATACTGCTGTAATAGTTCGTGCAATGGTTTAAATTATATTACATTTTTCCGAAACATGTCGTGGTGATGTACATACATGTTGAAACTACACCGACACACCTTATGAATATAGTCTCACCTGCAGTTTATCATATTATACCTACAAATGTCGCTTTATGCTTATAATGGTTAAATATTGCAAATATATACACACCTGTAGGTTGTAATTAAGCATTTAAGTGCCCTTTTAACACAGGTCAATGCTTTTTACCATTTTGAGTATTTTAATGTCATAAAAGTTAACACCTGTATAATGAAATTTAGCATAGGGTTTTGATTATGTGTAGAACAGCCGTATCCAATGGAGAGTTTGAAGTATCTTACGTTACAGTTTTGAAATAACAATAAAGAATAAGTAGGCACTGGCATTTACATTAAATATGAATGTCATCCAAACTTCGTATTGTGATATAGTTGCAGTACCATAAGAGTGGTAAATATTTATTCATAATACGCGAATATAAACTGCAACGTGTCCAAAATATAACAAAACGTTGTCTTTGATAACGCCCCTTGCTCGAAAGTGACACTGATGCGTAAACTAACCAATAAATGATAGTTATTAAGATGATAGTTATATATTACATTGTTTGGTGAATTATAATTCCAGATTCAATTTTTAGAATCATTGTGTAGTTTCACTTTTTTACATTCTGCGGAAAAATATAACTACATATTTCCAATGACCTTCCTAACTATATAATCAGATTTAATGTTCAAATATGCATTCCTCTATACGCATATTGATCACACGCAACCATTCATCAAGACATAGATGATTCATGAACGTAGGTTCACTTAAGTTCTTTAGAGGAAATGCAATTTGCATTTTCACGAAGATTGTTACACACATTAAAGTAATACATTCTTGGCCATTGGTATCGAATTTGGATTTGTTTATGCTGTAATGTTCACACACACACACACAACTTTGTGATTTAATGGACATACGCCAGGAGGTACTAAGACAGAAACCAAGTCTAACTTTTCTAATTTAGATATATGGCATTTATGTGACAACAAAGTAGTCAGGTAGGCTTGATTGACTTACGCTTGGTCCTACAAAGTATCCGTTTGTGCCTCAATAATTTTCCAAAAGGGTCTGGAAGATTCTGGTGAACTGTAGGTTTTTTCATTCATCAATGCATTCTTCACTTCCAGCTGACATGTTCATTGTAAGATAAGCACACTTAAATGACCATGTCAAGACTTCTTTACACTGAATATAACTTAAGGATCTCCGTACCACTGCCAGAGACGGTAACAATGCAATAGAGACCGATTTTGTTGACATGACTACCGCTTGGTAATATGTTCTGGAAAAAAGCCAAACCTTTCTAGACTTTCATTAAAAATAATAGTGATAAAATAAACTTAACAATAATCAACGACAGTGCTTTAATTGACAACACAGGGATAATAGACCGGGGTTTCAATCCTTGACTTCTGATTTTTATACTACATGTATTTATCTAACTGACTGAGCTACCCGGTCTAAGGAAGTGTCCTGGCACAATTTTGCTACAGTGATATCAAAAATGAAACTAAGGGTAGGTAACCGTATATACGACAAAACTACAGTGCAGTGGGGCATGGATCCTTAAGGACAATGATTTGAACCAAGACTTCATTAAGATTTACATTTTACATACATTATGCAAAGTTAAATGCAAAAAAGGACCATACATGGCATAATGAGTTTAGTTTATTGTCACATTACACAAAATATTATTTGTGAATTCTGACGCTAAAATATGTACATGTTGGAATGCTCGTAATTAGCATTACATGTCTCAACAATGTATGATATTCCTGTAGCAGTAAAGATGGCAAAAATATATATCTGGTAATCGTTGTCCTCAGCTGTCTCGTTGTGATATCATTTAGGAGATATTGTTTGAATCCGTCTGCGGCCTCGTCTATGACCTGATCTACCAGACATTGCAAATATATCAGCTTATGGCTTATCATGCTGATGATCGCCTATGTAACACTATCAGTATTAATTATGCAATAATTGCAATAAGGTTTGGTATCGCGATATATGGCAAGAACAAAAGGTCAATGCACCGTATAATGTTATTTTCACACAGACTGAAACTTTTGCGATTATAATTTCGCGATACCGACATGTGAAGCAACTTAATTTTCGCGGTGTACGGAACACTCAAAGTGTCAAATAGAAAATAATCGCTTTATCTATAATGATCAAAAATCAGTAGGTGTGTTTAGTTAACAAGTCATCAACAAAACTGTTATAAGTGTGATGTAATATATTAACAAACAGCTTGTACATCTCTTGCTGTAAATGAATCGTTCCTACCACATACTCGCTTTTTAACGACAACATTACGGTTATGAAGTCTATTATACGCTTTTGATATTATTCTGGGGATCACGTTTTCGTGATCACGTTATTGACCCGCGAAATCGCAAAAATATCGTCCCCGCAGAAATATCCTGTTATACGTTATTACAGAAAGACGTATGTCGTATGGATACAGAATAGGCGTGTCCATATTTTACCAAACTCCCTGGCCAGGTAGCGGGCTATGGCCAGACTCTGTGACAGCTGTTTTCCGTCCACATCCAGCACCGGCAGCTAACAAGTTGGCATCTCTGTAATTATAAATGATTGATTTATTCAATCATAGTAATAGTTAATTTTGGATAAAAGTATGCTAGTATATCTATGAGAAATATATTTGTACAAATGACTGATTACTTGACGCGATATCATAACTAATATTGTCTTACTAAGCCATATGACATGAAGGCTATTGTCTTACTTGGCCTCATGGCATTCCAATTCATTTGAGATGTACGTCCGAAGTTTCTGGGTCGATTGAAATAATTTGCAACGGTATAAAAACGATATACCACCTGCAATGTTCTGATATGTATATAAGGCTTAGATGGCAATTATTAATCGCGTCAAATGACCACAAGGACCCCGACATCTCATGAAACTACTTATTGATGACGTCACGAGCAATGACTTAACCCAGGAAGGTCAATGTAAGTCCACCTCACTTCGAATAATCCTGATGTCACTATTCCACAGCAGATTTAGCCTTTTTCTATCTGTCTTACTTAACTTGATGTCTTAATATGCATGTCTTAATTTGCTTTATGTCATAACAAACGTTGCAAAATTTGACTTAAGAGCTTAGTTTACAATGCACATAAAACCAGCCTTAAACAATTCTATAAGAACACATAAGCCTGTGTCGGTTCATACAAATTTAACAAGAATATGTATGAATTGACAATGTGTGTTTACCACTGAAATATATCTTTTCTTCATAAATTAATTTAATGCGATATTCCGTTATATACATTGGTCAGTATTATTCAGTGCTATTGAAGTTTCAGGACCAACAAGGTGGTGAGTATAACATGGATCTGAACGTAAGGTGTTAAAAAGCGACATTTTTGAAAACAATAAAAACTCGTTGAAAACAGGATCTACCATCGGAACAAAATCAGTAATTTGGTTAACAAGCATACGTTTTTGGTCTGTTATAATTTTTGATAACTTTTAATCTGGAGGAAACACTGGAATAATCTTTTGCGCATGCGTAAACATTTTGAGAATAAATTAAAATTCGTAATGCCGTGTCACGAAATAGGAATAACTTTCGTGATGTATATACATTTGCGATATTTTATTAGATCCCACTCAAATTCACTTGTAGAAGCAGTCGATGTTTTGTTCTTTAAATAAATCACAGATAGATAATTATGAAAATGTTCATATAACTCCCTTCAAGTAAACTATATCAGATATGTATGTAGCAGTCATAACTTCACATTAAAGGGAAAGTAAACATTGTTCAAAAGCAATATTTTATGTGGATATTTAAATAAGAACTGTTGACATTTTTGTGCTGACGACCCTGGTTTACTTCACTTTAATGTCAAGAAAGTCGAACCATTATAGATAATGTCAAGTTGTTTATTACCTTCAGACTTTACTGCCTTTAATTGATATAACACTTGGTTTTATTATCTTCGGTATTTATTACCAATGCTCCTTTCCCCTTCGGTTTGACGCCATCCAGTAACAACGTTTACCGTTCAAACATAAATACAACACAACACAATCAATACACATAGAAATCTCGAGTGTTACAGACTACGTTTTGTAACAAGTAATATGGTATTTTTCGTTATACAGTGATCTCTTTATAATTAGTAGGATTTACCAACTGGATAAATTAAAACATACAACAGTTTACTGCTAGCATCATGTCCTACTCTGTTAATTCTGTAAGTGAATACTTTTTACGTAAATTATTTTCCCTCCCACACTTGTCTAAGTATATCGTGTATCCTTACCCTAATGGTATGGTAACATATATCATCTATAGTGTCCTTCTCCAAAATATATCCTATACCAGTATTGCATAATCGTCTCTTAATGTTATCGCTCTATCATCTAACACGTCTTAATAGGCAGTTCGCAGAATATCAGTTCTGGTGGTATCTCTATACAAAAGTCGGGAAACCAAACGATCGGACTAAATTCATCAAATAGTCATTTGTTTCTTTAACCAACAGTTACTGTATTGTACTATTGTTTTTATTCTATTTATGTTTTTTTTTGTTTGCAATATAGCAAGCCCCATTCCCCATAACTTGACGCAAATCTTTCTCAAAAGCTTAATTAAACTACTTACATATATGCACATATTCGTATCTCCACATTTAAGAAATTATAAGCTCGTCAATATAATTGTGGACTTAATGCAATATGGAAATGGACACTCGCATTCCGGGAAATGCTTATACTTCGATGCACATGATTGTGTTCACATCTGTGTTTGTGTAGGCGTTTGTGCTATTTTAAATATCTTTGGTGCCTTTTGTTGTGTTGCTTTTTGAATAGACATTTTGATTTGCATTAATTTTACTTTACTATAGAGATCATCAATATTTTGACATGGACATGTTGTTAGATTGGAGAGTGATGTCGGTAATGGTGTGGTGGCCGGTGATAGTCCTATGATATCAGTTTACATCGTAAAACACTTCCTTGTAGGGGGGTTACGATAACACTAGTCAGTGACTGTGTACAGGCGTGTAAGGGAGACAAACAAATCAGTCGAGTGTTATATTTTACCAGCGACACCTGTCGTACAGGTAAAGTGTCAATATTACCTGAATGGTAAGGCCGTGAACATTGCATTAGGGCTTTCATGATTTAAAAATACAAGATAACAGAGAAAAAACTGTTCTACTGTAGAAATCGCGAAAAATATTATATAGACAATGCGAATAACAGAGGGGCGGCCTATAAAACACGTGTTTACAAACCGTAACTATTAGCCAAAGCTATTAATATGAACTGCTGATTAAAGGAAAAGCGGCAAACCTGTTGTGTTAAGGGATGAACAGGTTATGAAAATGAGAAAAGAGAAATCAAGTGTGTGAGTGTAATAACTGTGTTATATATCCTGAAAAGAAATTCTACACAGAACTTTTCAAACATATCACTGTTTTATAATGACAGTAGTATACATTGTAGTTATTCTCTTGATACTGGTGTCGATATCATGACTATTCTATTGGGTGTGAATTAACAAAACTGATATATATATACGATAATTGTATTAAAGAAGGCGACTTGATATCAACAGAATAATTGTGTTTTAGGGCTTTTGTCAGTGTCGTAACACTAATATCAAGAGGATCATTGGAGTTGACAGCTGTTGCTGTTTGTAATTTAGTAGGTGACGTATGTTACTGTTTTTGCTGATATAAATAAAACTGTATTACAAATGGCGTTTATTGCTTTACCATTGATATCAATAAAATAAATGACGTAAAGGAGATTTTGTTTTTAAGATATCAATTCGATAACAGTAATATAAAAGGAAACATTTGTAATGCAACACGTAAATCCTATTTGGATACGTACAGTACATGCAACTGAAATGTAAATATTCAAGGCACGAACCGCTGTGAAGTTAGATTAATTTAATCATTATTGATTTGATTCATCTTTAACAATACAAAAAGTCCCGTCTCTTAAACTGGTGAATAATTGACTCAGTTTATGTGCTGAACTGCGCCTTCATATAGACAATACTAAACAAACGTGTTTGTATAAAGTTTTATTTAGTTTTAAATAACAAAAGATAATGCTGCCAACATGCGTGAACTGATATGAACTTAGATCGGGTTCTCCGGACGTTTGTCCAGGTACCGCTTCACGTTTTCGTTATCCTCAACCTTCTGGCGGTTAGCTGCCAATTTAGGAAAGTCTTTCAAAGCATCTGCATTCAGCAGAAGAAAGTCTGTAAATACCTCATGGCACGCCAGGTCTGCTAACGTCAGCTAAAATGTGAAACATGACAAAATGATTGTTAGTGACATTTCATTTATTGTCACCAATTAATGCAAACAAAATTATAATAAAGGTCAACACAGAGTACAATAACAAATCAAAACAAAATATCCGGTATCAACATAATATTTACACAAAGTTTTCATGCTATAAATAACCTAAACACAAAATCCACTGCCTCAACAGAAATACATTGCCACGGTCACATCCTCCTCCACAAAGTATCATACCCAGCCTCAACAGCCTATCTATTTGACATCAATTATATGTACCTTTTATCCACCTATATGGACGTATGTAGATGATACTAATATATATACAAGTTTGCATTTTATATCTATACTACATTGTACAACATTCTTCTTTAGAATGTAGTGACAAGTTTTGGATAGCCTTAGCTCTAGTTATGCACATCAGCAACGACCAAAACACGTTAAAGGGAGCTAACAGCGACTGTTAATGTTTATTTAGACGAGTAGCTGCGTGTGGCCTCGTATCCTGTTAGATGTCACCGGGATGTACGGAAACAAATAAGGAAAATGACCATTTTAAGTGTGTGATAATTAATATTGGCATTTAAAACGATATCAAGTGACAAAAACTATATGTCTAAACTTACTTCAGATCCAACGAAAAATCCGTTTTTGCCTCCGCTGTTTTCTAAGAAAGTTGTTAAGATTCTGGCAAACTTAGGAATAGTTTCATCCACCAATGTCTTCGTTATTTCCGTCTGATAAACACAATGTAAGGTTAAATATTAAGAAAATTGGAGGGAAAGTAATGGTGATATTTTTTTCGATCACTTAAATTTAAGATAATGTTTCAAATGGCTAATTCGCAAATACATATTTGAATTGATAAAATCAACAACAACCTTGCCGGGATGAATTTTCGGAAACAACAGTTTGAAACAACAAATCTTCATCTACTGTTCTCGCAAAATGAAAAAAAACACCATTAAAAATATGAGATAAGCAGATATAAGAGGTAGGTAAGGAAGCACTAATTGAAAACCTATAAAGTTGCTAAAGAACGAAGTAAATATTGACTATGTTGACGACTTCTAAATGAATCACATTCTTAGTTTCAAATACACGTATTAATTATGTCTTGATATACATACTCATTTATAATGAACCTACATAGTGTCCAGACGTTATACGAATAACATCGGAGACATATTCTAGAGAAACTATAATGAATTTCACTGACCTTCTTGGTCTCATCCTTTTCGAAGTGCGATTTGACGTACTCTGTGAGGCAATCCGCAGCCGTGTCTATGACCTGGTCGACCAGACACTGGTCCAGATTGTTCTTACCTGCCAAACCTGTAAAATATCATAAAGAACAGAATCTATCACACCACTTGTACAACAATATTATAGAGAACACAGTCTACCACATCACCTGTAAAATATCATAGAAAACAACGTATACCACACCACCTGTACAATATCTTAGAGAACACAAATAACCACATCACATGCACAATACCGTAGAGAAAAAAGTCTACGACATCACCTGTAAAATATCTTAGAGAACACAGTCTACCACACCGCCTGCACAATACCGTAGAGAACAAAGTCTACCACACCAACTGTACAATACCGTAGAGAACAAAGTCTACCACACCACCAGTACAATATCTTATAGTATACAGTCTACCACATCACCTGTAAAATATCATAGAGAAGACAGTATACCACACCACCTGTACAATATCACAGATAACACAGTCTACCACACCACTTGTAAAATATCATAGAGAAGACAGTCTACCACACCACCTGTACAATAACAAAGAGAACACAGTCTACAACACCACCTGTACAATACCATAGAGAACAAAGTCTACCACACCACCTGTACAATACCGTAGAGAACAAAGTCTACAACACCACCTGTACTATATATAAGAGAACACAGTCTACCACATCACCTGTACGATATCTTACAGAACACAGTCTTCTACACCAACTGTACAATATCAAAGAGAACACAGTCTACCACACCACCTGTACAATAACATAGAGAACACAGTCCACCACACCACCTGTACAATATCATACATAACATAAATAGTCTACCACACTACCTGTACAATATCAAAGAGAACACAGTCAACAGATCACCTGTACACTATCATAGAGAACACAGTCTACCACACCACCTGTACAATATCTTAGAGAACACAAATTACCACATCACATGCACAATACCGTAGAGAACAAAGTCTACGACATCACCTGTAAAATGCCGTAGAGAACAAAGTCTACCACACCACCTGTACAATATCCAAGAGAACACAGTCTACCACATCACCTGTACAATATCTTACAGAACACAGTCTACCACACCAACTGTACAATACCGTAGAGAACAAAGTCTACCACACCACCAGTACACTATCTTAAAGCATACAGTCTACCACATCACCAGTAAAATATCATAGAGAACACAGTCTACCAAACAACCTGTACAATATCACAGAGAACACAGTCCACCACACCACCTGTACAATGTCATAGAGAACACAGTCTACCACACCACCTGTACACTATGATAGAGAAAACAGTTTACCACACCACCTGTACAATATCATAGAGAACACAATCTACCACACCACCTGTACACTATCAAAGAGAACACAGTCTACCACACGACCTGTACAATATCAAAGAGAACACAGGCCACCACACCACCTGTACAATATCCAAGATAACACAGTCTACCACATCACCTGTACAATATCTTACAGAACACAGTCTACCACACCACCTGTCCACTATCATAAAGAACACAGTCTCCCACACCACCAGTACACTATCTTAAAGCATACAGTCTACCACATCACCAGTAAAATATTATAGAGAACACAGTCTACCACACAACCTGTACAATATCAAAGAGAACACAGTCCACCACACCACCTGTACAATATCATAGAGAACACAGGCTACCACACCACCTGTACACTATCATAAAGAACACAGTCTCCCACACCACCAGTACAATATCATGGAGAGCAGTGTCTACCACACAACCTGTAAAATATCGTAACGAACACTGTCTACCACACCACTTGTTAAATATCATAGAGAATACAGTCTACCACACCACCTGTACAATATATTAGAGCATACAGTCTACCACACCACCAGTACAATATCATAGAGAACAGTGTCTACCACACCACCTGTAAAATATCATAACGAACACTGTCTACCACACCACTTGTTAAATATCATACAGAACACAGTCTCCCACACCACCTGTTAAATATCATAGAGAACAGTGTCTACCACATCACCTGTACAATATCATAACGAACACTGTCTACCACACCACTTGTTAAATATCATACAGAACACAGTCTCCCACACCACCTGTTAAATATCATAGAGAACAGTGTCTACCACACCACCTGTGCAATACCATAGATAACAGTGTCTACCACACAACCTGTTTAATATCATAGAGAACACAGTCTCCCACACCACCAGTACAATATCATAGAGAACAGTGTCTACCACACAACCTGTAAAATATCATAACGAACACTGTCTACCACACCACTTGTTAAATATCATACAGAACACAGTCTCCCACACCACCTGTTAATTATCATAGAGAACAGTGTCTACCACACCACCTGTACAATATCATACAGAACACAGTCTCCCACACCACCTGTAAAATATCATAGAGAACACAGTCTACCACACCACCTTTATAATACCGTAGAGAACACATTCTACAACACTACCTGTAAAATATCATATAGAGAACACAGTCTCCCACACCACCTGTATAATATCATAGAGAACACAGTCTACCACACCACCAGAACAACACTATTATAGATAACACAGTCTACTACACCACCTGTACAATATTGTAGAGAACTTTTTAGCTTGCCCTCCTATGAATGATAAGTATGCTTGGAATGATATTTTTTAACTATAAATAATTACGTAACGTTTTACGACTGTAGTTAACATTTCAGATACTGGTTTTAAAATCTTCAGCTTTATATATTTTGGAATGGTAAAGTGATGTAAGCAAATTTAGTCATAAAACATCCAAATAATGAAACATTTGTATGCATCACCTGTATACAGGTTGAGCCTTATAAATTACCGAACTCTCTGCCGAGGTAGCGGGCTATGGCCAGACTCTGTGACAGCTGCTTTCCGTCCACCTCCAGCACCGGCAGCTGACCAGTGGGCATCTCTAAAAGGGGAAAAAAGAAACATTGTGTTATAATTGATCATGCAGAATATTTTCATAAATCACTTAAATGGAAAACTAATGCAAGAACAAACATTAAACAAAACTATAAACGACCGAAATATTATGTCCCTATATTACCTGCTGCTTCAGAAACCTTTCTATAAAGCAGTTAAAAAGTACACCTCCACTCTGTGTCTGCTATTTTTCCTAGTAAATACATGACATAAAGTGCGCTTCCATTCGAATAATAAATGTTGAATCGATGAAACTCACTTAATGTTTTTGCATCATAACATGATCATTATACTTTTCTTGTGATATGATGAATGGGAAAAAAGTATTCAAAATTGTGTCTGAAAAGGTTAAAAATTGAAATATATACACATCTGGGGTCTATAAGAACATATGCGAAAGTATACGATTTCAACAAATGCATGTATTAACAGAAAAAAATTAACAGAACAAAATTATGCCATAGTAACAAAACACAAGGACATCACTTCAAAACTGGAACGTCGGGTCCATTCGAAGATAAAACAACAGGACCGTAGGAGACACACATACACAAGACAAAACCCCACGAAGAGCTATGGAATGATCACCAAAATATGTGTCATCATGTCTATGAGATACAAGACAATAAAGAGAATTTCCTGAACAACGATCTTAGGCAATCAAATTAAAAACAAAAGGGCAGACACTTAATAATTTATTTGTAAATCTAATTCCAAAGTCCAAACTTTATATGTAGGTTGGCAGTAAAATGAGTGTTAGTAGAAAATGAACTTGAAGACATATATAGGGAAAGTGAATTATGGAAGGAGCATGCCAGCTTACCTCGGTGGACATATCCTCGACATCCAGGGGTTAAGCTCCGCGTAGGGGCGTAACCCATGAATATCGAGGGAGCGGTAGACATAACTCTCCATAATAAGTGACACTCCTCCCGTTCGAGTACATTCTGTAGTTACATGGTAACCTTGGAATATTTTCTTCTCTAACAATATGTACTAAGTGATCTTGGTATGTTCCTCGTGCTGTTACCAAGCGATCTTGGAATGAGTCGCACTGGAGCCGCTCTAAACGCCTTCACGGTCAATAATGTCGGAAAATTATATTTGACCGCTAACTGACCCTATATCTATAGCATTTATCGAAATAAATAGTAAACCACACTTCAGATAGTTTAACCTCCGGTATCTTTATTGTTAATTTACATATTTACCACACACTTTATGTTACAGGGGAGACGACTCTCACACGTATTTCATCATGTTATGATGTACTGTGGCTATTAAGTTATATTGTCCAATTAAGTTGAATTTAAATGATAAATGAATCTGATAGGGCGGAAATACATTCTAAAAAGTGAATCGTAAAAAAGTTCGCAGAGTAACCATGATAGGTACATTTCATAATACACCTCATCTATGAGGCTACTGTATGAATGGCTTTATACTTATGTTCACAGATTTTGACTACTAATTATAACCTTTCTCCTAATGAATATGTAACTATACACATGCAAGTTTGGCCGATAAAGGGACTAATTGATATGCAATATCGATTGATATGACACAGATTTGTAGCATTATGCATATATTACTGTTACTTCAACAGGTTTTACGTTAAATATGATGCTTTACAGGATGTTTATTGTTTTATTTTTATAATATTGGTAAACAATATTCCAGTATATATGGTATTCTATAGGGTATAAGGAGTCCCGTCAATGAATCCCTAAGATGATAACGTACTACTTAAATTCCAGGGTAAATGTTTGACTTTTTAGATTACTGAATCACTCCGCGATTACCGGTACTGGACCCTTGCCAACCTACCGTTTATACATTCAAATCAATCAAATGTCTGCGAATTAAGTGAAGTTAATTCATTGTATTATATGGTCAACATATAAGGAAACGATTTGACATCAGAACCGATAAAGAGAGAACGATACAACACGAACTCTACAAACGACCGAAACTGTAAAGTAATGATTAGCGTTTAATGAAAAGAGACTCTGTGTAATTTTTCACAAATGTCACTCCACCTGTCTTAGGCCAACACCTGTTTTGGCAAGTTGCAAAAAAATAAAAATAAAAATATTTTCAGAAAGCCTTTATCATCACCGGTAGATCAATACGTCTCTCTCTATACTCTTAACATGATACTGCTGTAGATGTCTTGCATTGCTCCTCAACAAAGTTTTGGATTTTATTATGTTCAGGGCGCACGTCGAGTCAACATCTAACGGCCGTTGATACACAGACCGCTAAGTCAGTATATAGAACGTTGCCGTCGTTGGACATTGAGCAGGGTAGACTTTAGGTCACTTATCTATTCCTGGTCATGTCGTAGGGAGATAACAGTGTCTGTGTCACGAGATCATACACAGTCATACACGGATTTAAGAGGACACAAAAATCAAAAGTCTCTTTGAAAGCAAGATGTGCCATTCCTTTACCAGATTTGAAAGCACTGTACGTATTGTTTTATAAAGTTTGGGAAGATTTTATAATATCGCTTTCTGTCTGGTGTAGAGGTATTATAAACAGCAAACTAGCTTGGTGTGGCAGAATTATATACAAGTCGATAACATTGTTTAAAGATATAATAATTATATAATAACAAATGTCAACCAAGTTTGATGGTTGTAACGCATTGGAATACTCTTGGGCTGAGAGCTTGTTGTATGGATTTCATATACAATTGCTATACATCGTTTGAGGACATTATATATCAATCAGCTAACTTTGTTTAAAGGTTGTAAACTGGTGTGAGGGAATAACTTATGCGTTTATATCTTACTTGGTTTAAGAGCAGGCCAATCTGGAAACGTGACGGTATCCTCTTCGTATGTTTGACCAGCAGCTGCAAAGGCAAGGCGAATCAGCTCGCCTCTCCCTCGGAGGCCGAAGTAAATAAGTTTGTGGGAGGGCATGTTGTCTGGTAGATGTTGGTAGTAGAGTGTACTGGGGAAGATGGTGGTGGAAGTGTGTCCCAGGGTAGATGTCGGCCGACTGGTGTTGTCAGGCTTGTGATACACGGATATATGGCCCTCGGATAACGATGTTTGTTCAAAAAGGTAGGCCCAGGCATGCGCAGACTTAAGGGGTACTTATACTTAACGCGTGATGTAGACTGACCCAAGGACGACCGAAATTGACTCGGCGATGATCGAGAATAACATTCAACCATTTAATCGATATTTGTTTTCACAAAAGTATTTCCAAAGTACAATGTACAACAAAACGAAATTTGCATTGTTTATTCACTTCTATTTCCAGTTTTGTCTGTAGTGTGTATTTGTGTGTCGACATTTTGTGGTATATTTTGTCTTTTCATGTTCCCGCAGTGTTATCTCGGTAGCCGTGATCAGACCTCTCACTCTCCCAAGAATTTCGGTTCGATCCCCAGCGGAGGCGGAAAAGAGAGTGATGTCTGATAAGGCAAGTTGTTATCCCTGCGATGGTACGGTGGTTTTCCCCCGTGGCCTTTTCGGCACCACGAAAACTTTATTTGTTCGTTTAGCGGCGACGTAATAAAGGCCCTACAGATGTTTGATGTTGACAATATACACGACGTCAAATAAAGATGATTTATTCATTATTTATGTATTTGTCCGTGTTTTCACGCTATGGTATATTTTGTATATATTTGATCCTTGTATGCTGACTCTATGGGATATTTTGTCCTTGTACGCTGACTCTATGGTATATTTTGTCCTTGTATGCTGACTCTATGGTATATTTTGTCCTTGTATGCTGCCTCTGTGGTATATTTTGTCCGTGTACGCTGACTCTATGGTATATTTTTTGCCTTGTATGCTGACTCTATGGTATATTTTGTCCTTGTATGCTGCCTCTGTGGTATTTTTTGTACTTGTAAGCTGACTCTATGGTATATTTTGTCCTGGTATGCTGCCTCAATGGTATATTTTGTCCTTGTATGCTTCCTCAATGGTATATTTTGTACTTTTACGCTTCCTCAATGGTATATTTTGTACTTGTAAGCTGACTATATGGTATAGTTTGTCCGTGTATGCTGACTCTATGGTATATTTTGTACTTGTATGGTGCCTCTGTGGTATATTGAGTTGTCTTATGATTGTCATGAGTTCCAAATATGGGTTCGCGATTAAAGCTTGCTAACAGTGTCCTAGTTCATTAATCACCTACTTGCTTGGTCTATTTGACTGTTGCCGAAGTTTGATCACTTGTTTTGTGTTAATGGCTGTGGTACCGGTTTGTGTACATCGCTTGATCAAGTGAAGTTCATGGTCATGGTGCCATTCTTGTACACTTGGTGTTTGTGTGTGTGTGGTTGGGGTTTGGGTTGGGGTTGGGATGGGTGGGGGCGTGCTGTTTTTGCAGGGTTCATAGGGGTCAAATTCTTCGTATACCTGCTGTTGGTTTAGGGTTCAAAAACATGGTGCCGATGCCTGAACACCTGTTGTTTGCAGGGGATTCATAAAGATAGTGGTACTAATCTTTGTACGCCTGTTGTTTGTGTAAGGGGTATCATAAAGGTGTTTCCGTTGTTTGTCCAAATATGGTTTGTGTAGGGTTCTGAACACCTGTGGTATTGTGTGGGATTCATAAAGATGGTAATACTATTCTTTGTACACCTGTGGTATTGCGTAAGATTTTTAACGATTGTGCAGTTGCCTGAACACCTGTGTGTGTGTGTGATTCATAAAGATGGTAATACTATTCTTTGTACAAGTTTGTTGGTGTTTGGGATAATGACAGTGGTACCGTTGTTTGTACAATGTACACCTGTTTATTTTGTTTGGGCTCATTTCTTTGATGTCATTGTTTGTACACCTGTTTTTTTGTGTAGGGGCCATGAAGTTGGTCCCGTTGTTTGTACACCTGATTTTTTTTGCGTGGGAGTTCATGTAGGTGATGCCATTTTTGCACACCTTGCTTTTGTATTGAGTTAATAACTGTGACGCTGTTGTTTGTACACATTTCTGCTCGGCTATGTTGGCTCTTTAGCCTCGATGATTTGAGTTAAATTTGTACGATGTCCATGTGTGTTGGAACCGGTTTTTCTTCTTATTTTTCTTTGACAATATAAAAGTGTCCAATAAATGTGTACGTATAATTATTTATTCAAGTTTTCAATAACACTTGCAAGTTGCCAACACGAAATCAACTCGTGAACTCTAGATGATGCTCTCTGGGCGGTTTGCTAGGTACTGCTTCAAGTTTTCGTTCTCCTCAACCTTTTTGCGGTTTTCAGCCAATCTTGGAAAATCTTTCAACGCCTCTGGGTTAAGTCGGAGAAAATGTGTGAATATTTCGTGACATGCAAGGTCTGCTAACGTCAGCTAGAATATATAAAAAACATAACTCAATTCAACTTAAGCCTTTCCCTTAATAGTGACAATATCTATAGGCGCATTTTCTGAACATTTTACACATATTTATAACATACTTTGGTATACCATAACAAGTACTTTAAACGCATTTTTATAGATTAGATATCATACTCCTGTAATAGTTCGTGCAATAGTTTAAATGATATAATAATTTTCCAAAACATGTCGTGTTGATGTACATACATGTTGAAACTACATCACACACCTTAAGATGATAGTCCCATCTGTAGTTTATAATAAAGTTTACCTACATATGTCGCGTTTATGCTTATAATGGTTAAATATTGCAAACATATACACACATGTAGGTTGTAATTAAGCATGTAAGTGCCATATTAACACAGTTCAATGCTATTTACCATTTTTGAGTATTTTAATGTCATAAAAGTTAACATTTGTATAATGACATTCAGCATAGGGTTTTGATTAGGTGTTGAACAGCCGTATTCAATGGAAAGTTAGTAGTATCGTACGTTACAATTTTGACGTCACAATAATGAATACGTCGGCACTGGCATTATATTACAGTCAATATGAATGCCATCCAAACTTCGTATATATTCACTTTGATAGCATATTACATTGTTGGGTGAATTACACTTCCAGATTCAACTGTTTAAATCATTGTTGTAGTTCCGTTGTTTTCATTCTGCAGACAAATATAACTATATATTTCAAATGATCTTCTTCCTAACAATATATATAAATATATATAATTAAAAAAGAAAAATTCTCAACAACGAGTCTATAGTACTTTCATCTCGTCAAGGAGATTCTATAGATTCAATGTTCAAATATGCATTCCTCTATACACATATTTATCACATGCAACCACTCCTCAAGACATAGATGATTCATGAACATAAGTTCACCTAAGTTCTTTTGAGAAAATGCAATTTGCGTTTTCACGAAGATTGCTAATTAAATTAAGGTAATATTTCTAAACATTTTCTTTATGTTTGTTAGTATGGATTATGAAAAGTTCTTGTAATACAACCAATAAAACACATAAAAACACTTATTGATTGTGTGACAAGAACTTGTCATAATTAAGGTAATACTTTCTCGGCCATTCGTTTCGAATTTGGGTTTTGATGTTTATACTGTAATGTACACACACATCCAACTTTGTGATTTGATGGAGATACAATTTGTACGTCAGGAAGTTCTAAGACAGAACCAAGGTTAAGGTTCTACTTTAGATATATTGCATAAATGTGACAACAATGTAGTCAGATAAGCTTGATTGACTTACGCCGGGTCCAACAAAGTATCCGTTTGTGCCTCCATAGTTCTCCAACAGGGTCTGTAAGATTCTGGTGAACTGTGGGATTTTTTCATTCATCAATGCATTCTTCACTTCCAACTGACAGGTTCATTGTAAGATAAGCAAAAAATGACCATGTCAAGGCTTCATCATGTTTATCTACATACAATATCACTTAAGGATCCCTGTACCACTGCCAGAGACAGTAGCAATACACTGGAGGCCTATTTTGTTGACATGACTATCACTTTGATAAATATTTTCTGCAGAAAAAGCCAAACCTTGCTGGACTTTCATTATAAATAATACTGATAAAATGAACTTAACAATAATCAACAACAGTACATTGATTGACAAAACAGCGGTAGTAGACCGGGATTTGAACGCATGACTTCTGATTTTTATAATATTTATCTAACTGACTGAGCTACCTGGTCTACGGAAGTGTCCTGGCACAACTTTGCTGCAGTTATACGAAAAACTACAGTGTAGAGGGACAGGGATCCTTAAGGACAATGATTCGAACCAAGATTTTAGTTAGATTTACACTTTACATTCATAATGCAAAGTTAAATGCAAAAAAAAATACCATACATTTCATAATGAGTTTCGTTTATTGTTACATTACACAGAATATTATTTGTGAATTCTGACGCTTAAATATGTACATGTTGGAATATTCATAATTTGCATTACATATCTCAACAATGTATGCTATTCCTGTAGCAGTAAAGCTGGCAAAAATATACATCTGATAATCTTAAATATAAATATTAGCGAAATAACTTTCACACGGCCAGCATTGCCGCTGATTTACATTTATAGATTAATGGAAACAAACTGTAGGCGTCGATTCTGAATACAAATTGACCAGCCTAATGTATATGTCTTCACAAAACATAACACATAAAAATGCATGCGACTGGTCGGAAGTAGTATCAGTTATATCTACCTTCTTGTCCTCAGCTGTCTCGTTGTGATATAGGAGATATTGTTTGAATCCGTCTGCGGCCTCATCGATAACCTGATCTACCAGACATTGCTCCAAGTTACTTTGGCCTGCCAGACCTATACAATGGGGATAGATATGTTAAAAATACTTATAACTTACTTTTATCACATTTGCATTGTTAAAAGAAGAAATTATTTCCTCCCCAAGTCATACCCATCATTGAATAAGGCATCTTATTTAACCTTTTTACTAATGTAGCTGTTCTCTGTTCTGTTTAAGGGCAGTTTTCAGTTTTCCACAGGACAAAAGACAAAATTTTTAACTTTTCCCAAAAAGGTCTTGAAACAACTGATGTGCTACCATTATTAGTTAAATTTACAATACTCTAAGCTTTCTAATGTTATAACAAAAGAGATAAATTAAAAGCAATTTCCATTTTACACTATACACTTTACATTTTAATTGTAGATTAAAATTTTTATTTGATTTTTCAACAGAAATTCAGGACAAGAGTTCATTACTTCGGTTACAAAGACAGACCATGGTTAATCTTTATAATCAATTTTGTTAATGAAATTAATTCAATGTTACATGTGAACGAATGGGCTGTTTCATGCCAAATAACTATGCCCTTTATCATATCCCAGATTTATTTTCTAATTTTCACAAGGTACTTCGCGTGTAAACCTACGAGTAAATGCAACTGATATTAAGCAAACAAACATTTGCTCACAAACTGGATGTCATTGGGAAGCAACAAAATAAAAATCTATCGTTTATGTACAGCAAATATATCAGCTTATGGCTTATCATGCTGATGATCGCCTATGTAACACTATAATTATTAGTTATGCAATAATTGCAATAAGGTTTGGTATCGCTATGTTTAATGTACCGTATAATGTTTAAGTTTTTGCGATTTTGACCAAAAATTAAAATTTAAAAAATTACATGGATTAAAATTTTGCGATGTAGACATAGAACAAAGACGGAACACTGAAAGTGTCAAATAGTCAAAAGTACGCTTTATCTTTGATATCCAAAAACCCGTGTGTATAGTTAATCAAGTCATCAACAAAACTGTTATATGTGTGATGTAATATATGATGAAACAGCTTGTACTACTCTTGCTGTAAATGGATTGTTACTACCACATACTCGCTATTTAATGACAACAAAACGGTTATGAAGCTAATTATTGTGGTTCTTTTTATGCTTGTCTTATTATTCTGCGGATTATAATGTCACCGGTTGCTCAGTTTTAACAATAACTCGGACAAGTTGTTTTAAGTGTATATCTTTCCTTTATAATCTCCGAGAAACCTACAATACAGGACAATACAATAAATACATTTACCCTCTCATATACATACAATAAATACTACACAACTTCCGCGCCGATCGAGGTACCGGACCTCTGAATAGAGACCGCTATAAATATAGTAATTCTAATAGCTAAATGTTATAACCACACGATAGTTATTATATAATACGGTTATACATACAGGGTATGATGTTCCTAGCCTGCTAATACATGCTGGCGGCAATGTATCCGTACACCCTCTATATCATTATTGGCTCGGCTCTATCAGTAATCTGACGAGTCGGATTGTAAGAATGACCACTGGACAGTAAGTATATACCCAGTGGCCAGAATATAGTGGCGGGAATATAGGGTGCTTTATTCGTGCAAGGGGCAGGTCCAAGGTCTACGTCGTAAGTACAACTCAGTCAAAATGTTGAAACAGAACATAACAACACGGGTACATGCATTCCGAACTGATGACGTCACATACACTGTTTACCAGACGGGACAACACACGTGTATACAGACAGTCGACAGCACTCGTTGTATATATACAGTTGTGGGATCGCACAACGTTACATGATGTGCGGTGTGCGCACGATGTGTGCACGGTGTGTGAACGATGTGTGCCCGAAGTGCGAACGATAAAAAATTGGACGATCATTGCTTGCGCACATTTGTGCGGACGATCGACGAACGTTGTGCGATAACAATCGTGGTTGGTGTAAATTGAGGAATGGCCTAACAATATATACGGTTTGCTGTTTAAACATATAAACTTGATTTTTTTAGTATGTTTCCTTCCCTATTCAAGCTTCATCTAAAAGCTTATCTTTCAGTCTATACTTTAGAAATGGCGTTTTCGGTGTTTTTTAAACGACCTTACAAACCAGCCTCGGCAACACAGGTAAACATAGCCACTTTGTACCTGAACCGTAGTTTGCCCCCGCCCGGGGCACTTACGTAACCCGCCAAGGTGTGAAAACCAGGTGAAGGAGAGCGTTAGGTTAAAACGAATGCAAATAACAAATATTAAACGTCCAGTTGTATTTTCATAACGGTATACGGTATCATATATCAGCTCTACCCGTTAGGCACAGGCCAGGGAAAACTCCGGTCACTCATCAAATTGTTATTTATCTGTTCTGTTACCTAGCTAGGAGCCAAATCTATTCTTGACAGTCTAACGGTCTATGTAATACTGTGTTACATGCATTGTTAAATTGTACATAATGTTAATTATTGTGATGAGAAACTACAATAATAAATACAGTGTAAATTATTGGATACTAGTACGAGCCTTCCGTATTTTTTTCATTCCGTAATATTGAGCAACAAATTGTACCAAATCGCACAGTTGTGCGGAGAGAAGCGTACAACGGTGCGAACGATTGTCAAATCGCCCAGTTGTGCGCACAATGTGTGGACGATGTGCTGACGGTGTATGCACGATGTATGCATGGTGTGCGCACGGTATTGTTGGTGCGTTGTGCGGTCACACAACGGTATATACACACACCATACATATATATATATATATATATCATATTATATAACCTAGGGTTACAATAATAAAATGGGCGAGTCCATATTTTACCAAACTCCCTGGCCAGGTAGCGGGCTATGGCCAAACTCTGTGACAGCTGTTTTCCGCCCACCTCCAGCACCGGCAGCTGACCAGTTGGCATTTCTGTAATTATAAATGATTTATTTACTAATATATCCATACGTATTGATTTATTCATTCAGAGTTATAGTTTTGGATTAAACAATGCATATATATCTATGAGCAATATATTTGTACATATGATGGTTTACTTTCTCGACATCAAAGTTAGCATTGTCTTACTATGTCATACGACATGATGGATAGTGTCTTACTTAGCTCATGTAATACTGAACATTGTCTTACTTGGCCTCATGGCATTCCAATTCATTTGAGATGTAACACGGAGGTTGCTGGCAATATATAATGCTTGCAATCTACTAATATGCATATGAGGCCTGGGTGACAATTGTTAATGACGTCAAATGAACACACGGAAGGTCAATGAAATTCCATCTCTCTTCGAATGTTCATGACGTCACCATTCCATAGGATATTTAGATATTTGTTCTTAATTTGAATTGCCTTACTTACATTTAGCTTGATATCTTACTATGCAAGTCTTAATTTGCTAACAAACGTCCCGATACTTGACTTAAGAGCTTAGTTTACAATGCACATAAAACCAGTCTTAAACGATTCTATAAGTTCACATTGGCCTGTGTCGGTTCATACAAATTTAACAAGAATATGTATTAATTGACAATTTGTGCTTACCACTGAAATATATCTTTTCTTCATCAACTGATTTAATTTCGATATCCGTTATATACATTGGTCAGTATTATACAGTGCTATTGAAGTTAAGGACCAACAAGGTGGTGAGTATAATCGAGATCTGATCGTAAGGTGTTTAAAAGCAACATTTTTGAAAACAATCAAAACTCGTAGAAAACAGGATCAACCATTTGAACAATATCAGATATGAAGTTAACAAACATACGTTTTCGACCTCTTCAGGGACTGTGAATGACTTTTGATATGGAGGATACATTTGAATAATCATTTGCGCATGCGCAAACATTTTGAGAACAAATTGAAATTCGTAATGTCGTGTCACGAAATAGGAATAACTATCGTGATTATCGTGATGTATATGCATTTTAATTAGTTTCCACTCAAATTCACTTGCAGAAGCAGTCGATGGTTTGTATTTTAAATGAATACAAGAGAGTTAATTATGAAAATATTCATATAACTCCTTTCAAGTAAACTGTATCAGATATGTATGTAGCAGTCATAACTTCACATTAAAAGGAGAGTAAACATTGTTAAAAAGCAATATTTTATATGGATATTTAAATAAGAACTGTTGACATTTTTGTGCTGACGACCCTGGTTTACTTCACTTTAATGTCAAGAAAGTCGAACCATTATAGATAATGTCAAGTTGTTTATTACCTTCAGACTTAACTGCCTTTCATTGATATAACACTTGGTTATATTATCTTTGGTATTTATTACCTATGATTTTTCCCCCTCGGTTTGACGCCGACCAGTAACAACGTCAACCGTTCAAACATAAATACAACACAACACAATCAATACACATACAAATCTCAAGTGTTACAGACTACGTTTTGTAACAAGTAATATTGTATTTTTCGTTATATAGTGATCTCTTAATAATTAGTAGGGTTTAACAACTGGATACATTAAAACATACTACAGTATACTGCTATCATCATTTCTCACTCAGTTAACTCTGGAAGTGAATACTTTTTACGTGAATAATTTTCCCTCACACACTTGTCTAAGTATATCGTGTATCCTTACCCTAATGGTATGGTAACATAAATCATCTATAGTGTCCTTCTCCAAAATATATCCTATACCAGTATTGCATAATCGTCTCTAAATGTTAACGCCCTATCATCTAACGATCGGACTAAATTCATCACACTGTATTTTTTTTATTTTTTTTTTACAATATAGCAAACCCCATTCCCCTTAACTTGACCCAAATCTCTTCTCAAAAGCCTAATGGTATTGCTATGTCCTGTTTACCATTAAACTACTTACATATATGCACAGTTTCGTATCTCCACGTTTAAGAAATTATAAGCTCGTCAACATAAGTATGGAACAGATGTATTATGTTAATGACCAGTCGTAATCCGGGAAACGCTTACCCTTCCAACCCACATGTTTTCTCCTCTGTAATTTTGTAGGCGTTTGTGATGCCTTTCCTTTCTATTTTTTTTTATATTTTCGGTTTCTTTTGTTGTGTTGGTTTTTGAACAGACATTTTGTTTTGCATTCATTTTATATGAGGACATCAATATTTTGACCTATAAGGTATTTGGCCATATGCACGATATTCTAACTACTTAAATATTCTCGGTTTGAACCTAATTTGACTTTTTTTCTTCTGAGAAAACAATCGATAATTCACATTCTTATTATGAGTAAAGGTACACAATTATATTACCTGTTCTGAGAAATTTGTATACAGCTTACTTCCTTGTTCTTACTTCCTTGTTCGTCCAGTATTACACTAATCGAACATTTTATTTAAGTAAGCATAGCCAAAGTTCGCTTATAATAATTTGGTTAGTCAAAGAATATGATGTATCATTTATTCACCTTTTCTGAGACTATGATACAATTATCTTACTTGTGCTAATATAGCGCACTGTATCTGCCTTAGCTTCAGAGCATAATATTAGTATACAGTTGACGTACTGGGTCTGACAACATGATGCAAAATTAACTGTTTATTTTTGGTGTAACATATCACTGTAATTTTGGGTGTAATACGATTACGATATACATTTCGCTCAACTGTTATGAGAAGATGGTTCATAAAATGTCTAACTTGATATAACAAATGGGACCAAGACACTACACAATTGACACAATGGAGAGATTTGTTACAAATGTCTGCTTTACTGATATGGGTCACAGCACACATAGATCCCCTTTACTTAAGAGCATGCGATAACATGATATACCATTGCATGGCATGACTGGAAAGCTGGTGCGCAATTAACTTACTTGATTTAAAATTAGGCCATTCCTGTTTCGTGATAATTTGTTCTTCGTAGGTTTCTCCAGCAGCTGCGAAGGTAAGGCGTACCAATTCACCTCTCCCTCGGTACGGGAAGAAGATAAGCTTATATTTGGACATGTTGTTAGATTGGAGAGTGATGTCGGGAATGGTCGGGTGGCCGGTGATAGTCCTATGATATCAGTTTACATCGTAAAACACTTCCTTGTAGGGGGGCTGTAGATAACAGTAGTCAGTGACTGTGTACAGGCGTGTAAGGGAGACAAACAAATCAGTCGAGTGTTATATTTTATCAGCGACACCTGTCGTACAGGTAAAGTGTCAATATTACCTGAATGGTAAGGCCGGGAACATTGCATTAGGGCTTTCATGTTTTAAAAATACAAGATAACAGAGAAAAAATGTTCTACTGTAGAAATCGCGAAAAATATTATATAGACAATGCGAATAACAGAGGGGCGGCCTATGAAACACGTGTTTACAAACCGTAACTATTAGCCAAAGCTATTAATATGAACTGCTGATTAAAGGAAAAGCGGCAAACCTGTTGTGTAGAGGGATGAACAGGTTATGAAAATGCGAAAAGAGAAATCAAGTGTGAGTGTAATAACTGTGTTATATATCCTGAATAGAAATTCTACACAGAACTTTTCAAACATATCACTGTTTTATAATGACATTATTATACATATGTACATGTAGTTGTTCTCTTGATACTGGTGTCGATATATGACTATTATATTGGGTGTGAATTAACAAAACTGATATATATATACGATAATTGTAAGAAAGGAGGCGACTTGATATCAACAGAATAATCGTGTTATAGGGCTTTTGTCAGTGTCGTAACACTAATATCAAGAGGATCATTGGAGGTGACAGCTGTTGCTGTTTGTAATTTAGTAGGTGACGTATGTTACTGTTTTTGCTGATATAAATAAAACTGTAACATTGATATCAATAAAATAAATGACGTAAAGGATTTTTTTTTTAAGTTGATATCGATGGAAAATTTTAATAATAAAAGGTGACCTTTAATATCGTTTGAAATATTATTTTAATTATAGGAGATGTGGCATTTGTTATTGTAACATTCATATCAATAGAATAATGTATTTATTGGATGTGACGCTACCTGTTATCTTGACACTTTTATCAACAGAAGAATTGAATTGTATAATGTGAACTACATTGTATTTTGTTGCTTTCACACTGATTTCAACAGAAAGGTTTCTTTATAAGATGTGACTTGTTTTGCTAATTTAACACCGATATCAATTCGATAACAGTTATATAAAAGGAAACATTTGTAATTCACCACGTAAATCGTATTTGGATACCTACGGTAGACATGCAACTGAAATATAAATATTCAAGGCACGAACCGCTGTGACGTTAGATTCATTTAATCATTATTGATTCGATTCATCTTTAACAATACAAAAAGTCCCGTCTCTTAAACTGGTGAATAATTGAGTCAGTTTATGTGCGGGACTGCGCCTTCATATAGACAATACTAAACAAACGTGTTTGTATAAAGTTTTATTTAGTTTTAAATAACAAAGACAATGCTGCCAACATGCGTGAACTGATATGGCTCTTAGATCGTGTTCTCTGGACGTTTTGCCAGGTACCGCTTCACGTTTTCGTTATCCTCAACCTTCTGGCGGTTGGCTGCCAATTTAGGAAAGTCTTTCAAAGCATCTGCATTCAGCAGGAGAAAGTCTGTAAATACCTCATGGCACGCCAGGTCTGCTAACGTCAGCTAAAATGTGAAACAGGACAAAACGATTATCAATTAGTGACATTTCATTAAGTGACATCATTTAATGTGATAAAATAAAGATGAGCACACTTCAACGAAAATTATAAAGAACTGTCAACACAGAGTTAAATATACGTCAAGACAAAGTATATCCTATCAACATTATATTTACACAAAGTTTACACGCTATAAATAACCTAAACACAAAATCCACTGCCTCAACACAAATACATAGCCACGGTCAAATCATCCTCTACATAGTATCCTACCCAGCGTCAACAGACTCTTTTTTCATCAACTCTATGTACCCTTTATCCGCCTATATGGACGTATGTAGATGATACTAGTATATATTCAAGTTTGCATTTTATATCTATACTATATTGTGCAACATTCTTCTTTAGAATTTAGTGACGAGTTTTGGATAACCTTAACCATAGTTATACACATCAGCAACGACCAATGCACGTTAAAGGGAGCTAACAGCGACTATTAATGTTTATTTAGACGAGTAGCTGCGTGTGGCATCGTATCCCTTTAGATGTAACCGGGATGTACGGAAAGAAATAAGAGAAATGACCTTTTTAAGTGTGTGATAATTAATATTGGCATTTAAAACGATATCAAGTATTTAAAACTATATGTCTAAACTTACTTCAGATCCAACGAAAAATCCGTTTTTGCCTCCGCTGTTTTCTAAGAAAGTTGTGAATATTCTGGCAAACTTAGGAATAGTTTCATCCACCAAAGTCTTTCTTATTTCCGTCTGATAAACACAATGTAAGGTTAAATATTAAGAAAATTGAAGGGAAAGTATTAAAGATATTTTTTTCGATCACTTAAATTTAAGATAATGTTTTAAATGGCGAATTGCAAATACATATTTGAATTGATAAAATCAACGACAAAACTTGCCTGGATGCATTTTTCGAAAACAACAATTAAAACTGAAATTCACGATCCACTGTTCTCGCGAATTGAAAAATCATTGAAAAAAATGGGATAACCAGAAATAAGGAAGCACTTATTTAAAACCTATAAAGTTGTAGAAAAAGAAAGAAATATTGACAATGATGACAACTTCTTCATGTATCACAATCATAGTTTTATACAACAAATACACGTATTAATTATGACTTGATATACTTAGTTGTTTATAATAAACGTAGAGTGTCCAGATGTTATACAAATTGTATTGGAGCCATATTCTAGAGATACTGTAATGAATTCCACTTACCTTCTTTTTCTCATCCTTTTCAAAGTGCGACTTGACGTACTCCGTGAGGCAATCTGAAGCCGTGTCTATGACCTGGTCGACCATACATTGCTCCAGATTGTTCTTACCTGCCAAACCTGTAAAATATCACAGAACAATATAACCCATACATGCAAAATATGATAAAGAATTCATTCTACCACACCACCTGTACAACAATATCATAGATAAAACAGTCTACCATACCTACTATAAAATATCATCGATAACACACTATAAATATTTACATAACGTTTTACAACTGTAGTTAATATTTCAGATACTGGTTTTAAACTTAAGCTTTATATACTTTGGAATGGTAAAGTGATGTAAGCAAATATGGTCATACAACATACAGGTTGAGCCTTACCGAACTCCCTGCCGACGTAGCGGGCTATGGCCATACTCTGTGACAGCTGCTTTCCGTCCACCTCCAGCACCGGCAGTTGACCAGTGGGCATCTCTAAAAGGAAAAACAAGAAACATTGTGTTATAATTGATCATGTAGAATATTTTAATAAATCACTTAAATGGAAAACTAATGCAAGAACAAACATTAAACAAACCTATAAACGACCGAAATATCATGTCCCTAGATTACCTTCAGAAACCTTTCTAAAAAGTAGTTAAAAAGTAAAACCTCCACTATGTGTCTGTTCTTTTTTCTTAGTGAATATATGACATTGAGTGCGTTTCCATTCGATATTATGACAAATACAGCGAGTTAGTAAATGTTAATTCGATGAAACTCACTTAATATATTTTCATCATAACATGATCATTATACTTTTCTTGTGGGTGTATAATGAATAGGGGGACAAAAAAAAATCAAAAGTGTGTCCGGAAAGGTTAAAAATTGAAATATATACACATATGGGGTGTATAAGAACATATACGAAATTAAACGATTTAAACAAATGCATATATTGACAGAAAAAAATATTAAACAGAACATAATTCTGCCAAAGTAACAAAACACAAGGACATCACTTCAAAACTGGACAGTCTTGTCCATACGAAGATAACACAACAAGACCGTAAGAGACACACATACACCAGGCAAAACCCCACGAACGAAGAGCTATGGAATGATTTAATAAATATACCAGCAAAATATGTGGCATCATGTCTATCAGATACAAGAAAGTTAAAAGAATATGGTCAATAACGAACAACGATCTTAGGCAATACAATTTATATTTTATTTTGGCAGACAATTAATAATTTTCTTATTAATCCAAGTCCAAAGTCCAAACTATGTATGTAGGTTGGCAGTAAAGTGACTGTTTGTCAAAAATGAACTTGAAGAAATATATAGGGAACGTGAATTATGGAAGGAGCATGCCAGCTTATCTCGGTGGACATATCCTCGATATCCAGGAGTTACGCTCAGCGTAGGTGGGCGTAACCCCTGGATATCGATGATGCGATGGACATAACTCTCCATAACAAGTGACACCCCTCCCGTTCGAGTATTACCTCATTCTACATGTCGAGAGACCAAACTGTAGTAACTTGGTAACCTTGGAATATTTTCTTCTCTAACAATAGGTATTAAATGATCTTGGAATGAGTTGCACTGGAGTCGCTATGTCGGAAAATTATATCTGACCGCTAACTGAACCTATATCTAAAGCATTTGTCGTAAATTTTAACCTCCGGTATCTTTATTGTTAATTTACATATCTTTATACCACAAACTTAGTGTGACAGGGGAGACAACACCTACATAGGTTTCATCATGTGGCTATCGTAAAAAAGTTCGCAGAGTAATCATGATAGGTACTTTTCATAATACACCGCATCTATGATGCTACAGTATGAATGGCTTTATTTTTCTGTTCACAGATTTTGACTACTTATTATAACCTTTCTCCTAATGAATATGTAACTATACACATGCAAGTTTGGTCGATAAAGGGACTAGTTGCTATGCAATATCGATTGATATGACACAGAATTGTAGCAATATGCATGTTTCACGTTAAACATGATAATTACTTGGTGTTTATTGTTTTAATTATGCCATATTGGTATGAAAACAATCCAGTATGTATGGTATTCTTGGAATATGGTATTATATAGGGTATAAGTCAATGAAACCCTAAGTTCACAACGTACTACTTAATGTCCAGGGTAAATGTGTGACTTTGTACTGCATCTATCCGCGATAACCGGGGCTGGACACACGCCAACATACCGTTTATACATTCAAGTCAAGCAAATGTCTGCAAATTAAGTAAAGTTAATTCATTGTATTATATGGTCAACATATAAGGAGACGATTTGACATCAGAACCGATAACGAGAGAACGATACAACACGAACTCTACAAACGACCGAAACTGTAAAGTAATGTTAGTGTTTAATGAAAAGAGACTCTGAGTAGTTTGTCACAAATGTCACTCCACGTGTCGTACGCCAACACCTGTTTTGATAAGTTGCAAAAAAAGAAGATAAATGCAATTTGATTTTCAAAAAGCCATCATCATCACCGGTAGATCATTTGATCAATACGTCTCTCTAAACTCTTAACATTCACTCCTCAAAAAAGGTTTGGATTTTATTATGTTAAGGGCTTACGTCGTGTTAATAGCTAACGGCCATTGATACACAGACCGCTAAGTCAGTATATAGAACGTGGCTTTTACAAAGCCGATCCGTGTCAGGTCATTCGTTGGACAGTGCGCAGGGTAGACGTTAGACCAGCTATATATTCCTGGCCGTGGGGACATACACAGCCATACACGGATTTAAGAGGATATTAAAATCAAAATACTCTTAGTATTGTTTTTCAAAGATTTAATTTTCTAGTGTATTCATTTATAACGTTGAAACATAAGTTATTCTGAAGTTATTCTTAATATTTCCACATGACTTCAGAAAGTGTACGAAATGCGAAAGCCTGTCTGATCCTGTGGTAAGTCTGTCAGCAAACACTGACCATAGCAGGGGTCAACTTTGTTTGTTTAATAAGTAACACTAGTCGTAGATCAATATACTGTTACATAATGTACCTGTTGAGAAATTTTCCACCGTTCCATGTTATTCCCATACTTATTGCAAAACAAATGCGTAGCAAAATTCCTTTGCACATCATTATTATGTGTTTGAAATACCAAAATATGATTATATCCAATTGACTTGAAACAATGTTTGACTTGCTTGGTTTGAAAGCAAGATCTGCCATTCCTTTACCAGGTTTGAAAGCACTATAAGTATTGTTTTATAAAGTTTGGGAGGATTTTATAATATCGCTTTCTGTCTGGTGTAGGGTATTATAAACAGCACACTAGCTTGTTAACCAAGTTGGATGGTCTGAGAGCTTGGTGTATGGATTTCATATACAATTGCTATAGATAGTTTGAGGGCATTATATATAAATCAGTTAACTTTGTTTAAAGATTGTAAACTGGTGTGAGGAAATACCTTAAGCATTTATATCTTACTTGGTTTAAGAGCAGGCCAATCTGAAAACGTGATGGTATCCTCTTCGTATGTTTGACCAGCAGCTGCAAAGGCAAGGCGAATCAGCTCGCCCCTCGCTCGGACGCCAAAGTAAATTAGTTTGTGGGAGGGCATGTTGTCTAGTAGATGTTGGTAGTAGAGTGTCCTGGGGTAGATGGTGGTGGGAGACTGTCCTAGGATAGATGTCGGTCGACTGGTGTTGTCAGGCTTGTGATACACGTATATATGGCCCTCGGATAACGATGTTTATTCAAAAAAATTATGCCCAGGCATGCGTGTACTTATGGGGTACTAATACTTAATTAACGCGTGATGTAGACTGACCCAAGGACGACCGAAAATCGACTCGGCGATGATTAACAAAACGATATTTGCATTGTTGTTTTATTTTTCATATTCATTCAGATTGCCAGTTTTGTCTAAATTGTATCATCGTTAAGCGAAGCTGTGGCATATTTTGCCCTTGTATGGTGAAAAGTTGCGGTAAATTTGTTCTTGCGTGTCGACATTTTGTGGTATATTTTGTCCTTTCATGTTGCCGCAGTGGTACCTCGGTGTAGCCGTGATCGCTTACGCGCACAGTTATTTCTACTGTCGCAATCACGCGTGAGCTTCAGACCTCTCACTCTCCCAAGAATCCCGGTTCGATCCCAAACGGTGGAGGAAAAAGAGAGTGTTGTCAGATAAGGATAGTTGGTATCCCTCTGATGGCACGCTGGTTCCCCACATTGGGCTTTCCTATACATGTACCATGAAAACAACATCTGTTCCCTTATCGGCGTCGTAATAAAAGTTCTACAGAGCTTAGGTTTATTCTTGACAATATACACAACATTAAATGAAGATTATATATTTACTTATTATCTATTTTTTGTCCGTATGTTGACGCTGTGGTATATTTTGTCCTTGTGTTGTGACTCTATGGTATTTTTTGTCATTGTGAAATTCTCTGTAGTATTTTTTGCTTTTTTGATGTTGACATTTTGTGGGATATTGGTCATTGTATGCTTACATTGCTTGGCATATTTTGTCTTTGCATGGTAGTATGTTTGGTCCTACAATGTAATATGCTGCCTCAATGATATATTTTAACCTTGTACGCTGACTTTATGGTATATTTTAACCTTGTACGCTGACTTTATGGTATATTTTGTCCGTGTATGCTGCCTCTATGGTATATTTTAACCTTGTACGCTGACTTTATGGTATATTTTTCCCGTGTATGCCGCCTCTATGGTATATTTTAACCTTGTACGCTGACTTGATGGTATATTTTGTCCGTGTATGGCGCCTCTATGGTATATTTTAACCTTGTACGCTGACTCTATGGTATATTTTGTCCGTGTATGCCACTTCTATGGTATATTTTAACCTTGTACGCTGACTTCATGGTATATTTTGTCTTTCGTCCGCTGATTCTATGGTATATTTTGTCCTTGTATGCTGCCTCTCTAGTATATTTTGTACTTGTAAGCTGACTATATGGTATATTTTGTCCGTGTATGCTGCCTCTATGGTATATTTTGTCCTTGTATGCTGCCGCTCTGGTATATTTTGTCCTTGTATGCCGACTCTATGGCATATTTCGTCCTTGTATGCTGACTCTATATTATATTTTGTCATTGTCTGCTGATTCTATCGCATATTTTTTCGTTGTATGCTGATTCTATGGTATATTTTGTCTTTCGTCCGCTGATTCTATGGTATATTTTGTCCGTGTATGGCGCCTCTATGGTATATTTTAACCTTGTACGCTGACTCTATGGTATATTTTGTCCGTGTATGCCACTTCTATGGTATATTTTAACCTTGTACGCTGACTGTATGGAATATTTTGTCCGTGTATGCTGACTTTGTGGTATATTTCGTCCTTGTATGCTGCCTCTCTAGTATATTTTGTTCTTGTAAGCTGACTATATGGTATATTTTGTCGTTGTCTGCTGATTCTATTGCATATTTTTTCGTTGTATGCTGATTCTATGGTATATTTTGTCCTTGTCTGCTGACTCTATGGCATATGTCTTCCTTGTATGCTGACTAATGGTATATTTTGCCCGTGTATAGGGACTATATGGTGTATTTGTCCGTGTATGCTGACTTTCTGGTATATTTCGTCCTTGTATGCTGACTAATGGTATATTTTGCCCGTGTATAGGGACTATATGGTGTATTTGTCCATGTATGCTGACTTTATGGTATATTTCGTCCTTGTATGCTGCCTCTGTGGTATATTTTGTACTTTTACGCTAATTTTATGGTATATTTTGTCCTTGTCTGCTGACTCTATGGCATATGTCTTCCTTGTATGCTGACTAATGGTATATTTGCCCATGTATACTGACTATATGGTGTTTTTGTCCGTGTATGCTGACTTTCTGGTATATTTCGTCCTTGTATGCTGCCTCTGTGGTATATTTTGTACCTTTACGCTGTTTCTATGGTATATTTTGTCTTTGTATGCTCACTTTATGGTATATTTTGTCCGTGTATGGCGCCTCTATGGTATATTTTAACCTTGTACGCTGACTGTATGGTATATTTTGTCCGTGTATGCTGCCCCTATGGTATATTTTGTCCTGGAATGCTGCCTCTATGGTATATTTTGTCCTCGTATGCTGCCGCTATGGTATATTTTGTCCTGGAATGCTGCCTCTATGGTATATTTTGTACGTACAAGCTGACTATATGGTATATTTTGTCCGTGTATGGCGCCTCTATGGTATATTTTAACCTTGTACGCTGACTGTATGGTATATTTTGTCCGTGTATGCTGCCCCTATGGTATATTTTGTCCTGGAATGCTGCCTCTATGGTATATTTTTTACTTACAAGCTGACTATATGGTATATTTTGTCCGTGTATGCTGCCTCTATGGTATATTTTGTACTTACAAGCTGACTATATGGTATATTTTGTCGTTGTATACTGATTTTAACTTATATGTTGTCCTTGTATGCTGACTATATTGAATATTTTGTCCGTGTATGCTGACTCTTTGTCATATTTTGTCCGTGTATGCTGACTCTATGGTATATTTTGTCGTTGTATGCTTTATCTATGGCATATTTTTTACGTGTATGCTGACTCTATGGTATATTTTGTCCTTGTATGCTGCGTCTGTGGTATATTTTGTACTTTTACGCTAATTTTATGGTATATTTTGTCCCGGTATGCTGCCTCAATGGTATATTTTGTACTTGCAAGCTGACTCTATGGTATAGTTTGTCCTTGTATGCTGCCTCTGTGGTATATTGAGTTGTCTTATGGTTGTCATGATATGATTTCCAAATATGGGGTCGCCATTAAAACTTGCTAACTGTGTCTTAGTTCATTAATCACCTACTTGCTTGCTTGATTTGACTGGTGCCGAAGTTTGATCACTTGTTTTGTGTTAATTGCTGTGGTAACGGGTTTTGTTCATCGCTAGTTCAAGTGAAGTTCATGGTCATGATGCCATTCTTGTACACTGTGTGTGTGTGTGTGGTTGGGGTTGGGGTTGGAAATGGGGGGGGGGGGGGGGG